TAATAGTAATTTGTCTCTTAATCTCATCACTGACGGATTTGAACTAAAAAAAGTCAAACACGTATAAAAAATTGTTGTCTAAAAAAATTTTAAAATAATTGTTGAGTACCATCAGGATAACTATGTGAAAAAGTGTCACTTAAGATCCAAATTAGACAAAATCCACAATTGTAAGATAACTTAAAATTTTAATTTAAAATTGGATTTTTCTGCATAATTTCCTATGACAGTTAAATGAAAAGAAAATAGATTAGTCTGTATTTATTAATCTTGAGATCATAAATCATAAGTAACCATACAATTTTTTTTTAAGCATTTAAATAGTTATACAGTGTTATCTTGCAAATATATGCAAGTTACAACTATATGAAAAGTCCATTGACTATTGGATACTGAAAAGTTGTGTCAATAATAATATAAGTTTTATTAAGTTATTAAGTATTCTGCTGTGAACTAATTTAATTGTTTTTAACTTCCTGCAAGACTCAAACGATATTCTTTTCAATGTAGTAATATTTATATAGTATATTAGAATATTAAAAAGCTGGTGAAGCTGTATGTGTACACTTTAATTTTAGAGTAAAAAACACTATTGCTTATATTTGGATTAGGATAAGATGTTTACTCAAATCTTCGTCGGTAAACAAACATTTTTGTATGGAGCAGCTGTTGTAAAATTCCCTAAAATAAGTTTGTACAAGCACATTGTACTTTACACCCCACTGTTACCTTTGGCAAGTTAAACCAAAGCCAAGGAGGAGGTTGAGTCCAATATAAAGAGAGGCTATAAAGTTAGGTGGGTTTGGAACCATTTGATCACCTCTGGGACCACTTGGTTCTCTGACCTCAAACTACAGAGTAGTCTATACAACGATTTCAGCAAACGTATATTAACAATTTGGGGTTTAATTAATTCAAAAGTAATGAAATGTTCATTTCAAACTGTTATGGGCATTTTTGTGATTGTAAAACACTTGTTATCTTGTTCAAGTTATGGTTAACTTAATTAACCTTATAATATTTTTCTTCCACCTGTGTCTAGGTATTGCTTCATTTGCCTTTGCACAATTTTGAAACTACAAACGAAATAAATAATCCATCTTCGAAGGAATTCCCCTCTACACACAAATGTACTCGTTTTAATATTTGCGACACTATTTGTTGACATTATAGTTACGGTACTTGAAATAAAAAAAACTATACTTATATAATTGTTCTATTTACTTTTGCGACACTCCTACCTAAGGACTAAGGACGCGACAGTTTATATGTGTTCAGTATGATATGTTTTCAATATGTTTTCAATATGTTTGAAATATATCGGAACATCACAGTCCCTTTACATGTATTGGCTGAATTATTTAGTTTTGTTTGAAAACTAGAACCATATGACTGAGATAATAAATGGTTTTTGGAACATACACAGCTGATCATAGTCAGTAAAAAGGCTACAAAAGTCATATCACTCCATTCTACCATGGATTTAAGCACACTCTGATTTTCCAGCTTAAATTATTACACGTGTCGATTTCAATAGTGTGACGAAACACATCCGAGTATATGAAAAGAGCACAATTGCGAGCTCTTAATCAATTTCTGTAGTTTTACAACAGGTTTAAAATGTCTGCTTTTGTCTAGAAACGCCTGAGTAAACAGATGAAAACTGAACACAGTCTGAAGCGAATTATTCAGCACAAACTGAATAACAATAACACTCTCCGCGATTGGATCTGGAAGTTATGTATCTTGGAAAGTCTCACAGGTTGTGTGTTGCCAGGTTTGTTCCTTATACGATGTTGAATTCATTCCAATTAAGAAATATATTTTTATACTTTATATTCAGTTTGACCATTTCAGTGCCTTGACTTAAGCATTAATTTCTTACCAACTCTGTACACTATTTAGCTATATCGTTGATCTAACTATGAAAAAAACTACTTAATCTTTGTCGTTCGATTTCATTTACACTTGTTTAGCTCGGTTTTTTATTAAAGTCACCAAAACGAATTGGAATATTACAATTATTAATCATTTCAATCATAAATATATAGTATTGTTGTGAGTGCTGAAACCTAGCGTTGATTTTGAGAACTTCCACGATGAGTTTGAACAGAGCGCAGCACTTACTGGGAATGTGAGGCGATGTCAAATAAATCGAGGGCAATTTATATTAGAAAGCATAGTTTTAAGGATTGAAAAAAAATATGCAACAATTAACATGCTTCAAAGCTTATATCGATATAAAATTTATATTAAATCGCACACCAAATATCACAGTGGGCTAAAACGGATTTCTCGTGTTAAAAAAGCTACTCTGTTCTGAAACTTACTTTCATAACACCAAACATGTTAGGGTATGAAGGAACTTGTTTATATTGCACACAATTACAATATTGTATGTTTGAGTTAAGTTAAAGAATAACGGGGGAAATATTGTCGGAGTTTATGGACTCAATTTAATTGTATTTAATTGCAGGTCTGCTCAGCAAACTCGAAAAATACAAACTGAATGATTTCGGGTGAATGTGGTTTTTCCAGAAGAATTAAATGTGTCAAATTACAAGCCAACCTATGGAATACGTATTTAATCGTCTAGTAGTATTTTACTGAAAAATCATACAGAATAGAAAATTTCACAAATCCAAAAATTTAGTGTATAACCAAGATGTCAAAACTATAACGCCTTTAATTCGTTTCCATAGTCTTAGGGACGTATTTACTCATTTAAGGAGGTTCTCTTGATTTCTTTAAGTGTGACACCTGACAACTGTATTCGTCTTTAATAATTGTCCTGAATGAATTACATCTTATAAACTGAATTAAACTTGTCGGGTTTATTTAGTCCTTTTGTCAGAGCTCCCCAATTGAGTATAAGGGTTGGGTTACAGCCAAACTCCAACTTTTCTTCAACCTTTTACATCGTGTTCAACTAAAAATGCTGCGAGTCTTTGTGTGAACAATGAGAAAGAAAGATTTCGTTTTCTTGGTTGGTTCTACTGAGTAGGGGGATTATAAAATGTACTCCCTGTGGTATTGTATAAATGGAGAATACTTTTTAACGTAACATTAATAATTACAACTACAGTGATACCAAATTAAGAGCTGGTTTTGTCGTTAAAAAGTTAGTGTCTTATATGGTAGTTATAATTTGGGTTGCATTAAAACACCCTTTGGCGCTTTAAAGGCTGTGAAACGCTGCACCAGCCTATCGTAGTCAGTCGTAGTATCTTTAAGTGTTTCCAACTTATTTTCAAGCGTACACGTATTACTTGCCCAATAAAAGCACACCGTTTTGTGTTGGTTGGAATACTGGAGTGCGGCAAAGTAAGTAAATGCAGCAACCAGCTACTTTGCATGCTTTATGAGGTAACTTAAAGTTGTTCGGATTCATTCCGAACAACTTAATTCGGAATTGTTCGGAGGAACATAGTTGTTAGGATTCTAAATATACCCTAAGTGTCTTTGCCACTTTGCACAGTAACACAAATATTTCAGTGTTATATATAGACGGTTACATTTAAGAACCGCGCCCTTATCTGTAACGTAGTGTACTCTATAATTAGTAAACTACAGTAGTACTAGTGGCTTGTAGGGGCAATAGCCCCTATATAAAAATTCTAGTAATTATTTTGTACAAATTATTAGTCTCATGGGTTACCCTACCTTGAATTATCGTTTAACATTTTTGTATATTATAATATGTATAAAAGTTATTACATATCTGCATAATGAAATTTTTTGATGTCTGTTCTGTTTAAAATATAGATTCCAATCCAAAGGACTGTTCATTCAGTGTGTTTATAATACAAACTTTCTAATCATAATATACAACTAAGGAACATTTTCAATAATAATCTTCATTACTATTAAATAAATATTTATCAATTCCTTTGAATATAGGAATATAGGTGTTTTATTCACTTAAATAAAACACATAGATATATGTCATCCTCCAAATTGTATAATGCTAATCATAACAAAATCTCTCTGAAAACAACAGAGTATAGTATCCATTTTAATCGAATCCTTGGTCTTTATTTTGTTATAATACTATTTTAACATCATCTGGCCACTTTAACCGGCTAAAAGCAACATAAAGTTGACCATGGGTGAACACAGGTTTTTTTTTCAAATAAATGCCAAATTGTTGAAGGTTTGGCCTTGCGCTTTATTTATAGTAATATCGAAAGCTAATCCCAATAGGAATTGAATCCCTAAACTTAAACGGCATAAAGGGATCTTTAGATGTTAGTTTTATTTTTGGCATGAAAAATATGTTCCCTTTGCCTACTCCAGTAATTACTTCTAACTTTACACTTTTTTCAGACATACCTATCACAACCAATCCTATTCCATTAACTAATCCAGACCCTTAAACTTGGGAAAAAGTCTATATTTCAGCTTTATAATAGTATACATATTACAGTACATATTACCATATGCTTTAAATAAAGTTAAACCACATGTTTTCAAGTAAACAAAGCAGACATGACCTGGACTCCCATGTTATTTAAATGTAAGTTATTTTATTACGTAACAACCTTTTGGTGCACAATTAAGAAAAATGAATAATTTTCCCCAAAACTTCATGCCCAGACCTTTAAAATGAGACCTCTCCCAGCTTTCTACGGCCTCCCGTTCGCTCACAATTTCATTGTAAAATTTTGGGCTTACGGAATTAGATATATAGATGAAAGCAAATATTTTCAAAAAACATAATGTTTTCATCCAAAGCCGTTAAAAACGTGATAAAAAATTAGTAAAGTAAACAACTTTTAGGAATGTTGAAGTAACTACTCGAGCTTGTTGCAGAACCCAGCTCACCGCAAACAATTGCAAATGCTCAATTCAGGGAAACACTTGTTATAACAAGATATTGACGATCGCAGGGTGAGATGGGCGGTGGGTGGGAGAGAGGGTAGCGTTGCCTAGCAACCGTCTCTGTCCCTGGACCACGCCATATGTTCAAACAACCCTCCCATCTAGCGGCGACCGACGGAACTAAGCATCCAAACATCAAACAACCCTGGCACATAGGATGTCTCACAGCAAATTTAAAGTGTTTTAACTGATAAATATAGTTTTTCTACTGAGTTTAGTGTGGATGGACTTGCAGTGTTTGTTGCGGAAGTTAGGTTGGCAAGACTTGGCAAGCTACCCCAGCTCTACTGCTGTCCGTAACATTGTTTGTGGTGCATCGCTCGTAAGGTAGGGATTTATTTTGCTTTCCCTATAATATAAATTAGTTTAGTAGTTAATTTACTGTACGATGTATCAATAGAAATTCTAAGAGTGGAGTTTTTTGTGTTGACAGTTTAAAGTTGTCTGTCTTAACTGTATTGTTAAGAAATCTGTATTGTAACATTGAGTAGATGCCCCATGATTGTAGCATCACCTGTACAAAATAAATTATTTAATTGTGTATGTATCAAATGCAGAGTGTGTTAATAAAATATTGAATTGATTTTCGTAATTCTCAATTTAAATTACATTGCTTTACTGTATCAATTTCGATTCTGATTGCAAATAGGTTTTTCTAAACGCAAGACAGGACCTCGGTTCTATTTTCTAATGTTATCGACTCAGTTTTTAAATCTTCCCTTTGTTGTTTTAACAAAACTTGATTAAATTATTACAAACACACTCTTGATCACGTGTAAGGTACCCGAATTTGAACAGCAAAATCATATACCCTACAAAAAGAGACATAATTTTACAATTTGCCTTTGTTATATTACGAATTTCACCTAAATTTAAGCTATTGTGGTATATTCTTGTGTCTGTTATTCTTACAGATACATCATTATTGCATTGTATTTATTGTTAAGACATACAGCTTTGTGGTTCATTAATTGATATTATGGTTGGATAGTGTGTTTGCAGTATTCATGCCAGTGGAATTTTGTAGTTCTTTTTGCAAGGAATGGTTTAACATCTGATGTATTTTTTTGCCCACTAATTTGAAAGAACGGCTGGGCTTAGGAGCTTGGTAGATGTGCCTAAACAATGTCTTGGTCCGTAGATGAGCCATCAAAAGAGAAGCGAGGTAAATTCCCTCAAGGCTCTGCCCCAAGCAGCGCCCTTTAAATTTCCCATCGCATATTATTCTTATAGAGAAAAAAAACTTCATGATGGAATGGCCTCTAGATCGTCTGAATAAACTAATATATGTTTAAATTACCTGTTTTCTGTCAAACCGATCGACGTTGGTAGTATGATGACTTGTCCCTACTAATTTAAGAGAACGGCTGGGCGTAGAAACTAAATACATTCAGCTAAGAGGAACCATAATATATACTAATTAGAACTGGAACTTTTAGAGGACATTTGAATAACATCTAAATATATATATATTAGCAAACAAAATGTACCAGGTTTACCAGCGATACTTGGCAGAAACCACATAAAAAACATCTAAATTGCATCGAACAGTAGCCTTAAAATACCAAAAAGGTTACCCAGCTACATATAACACTGTTCCAGCTCGTAAACTATGAAAAGGTCCAGATCAATTGAATGCATTTGGATCGTGAAATTCATAAACTGGTTTGATTTTCTTTTGAACCCACAGAGATGAATTGTCTTCTGAAGAAGTTAATTGTGTTCCTGTCGTGACGCACAGCATCCGATCACGAAAATCTTCCCTAAAATGTGCTCTCGACGGTATAAAGATTACATATACAGTATACAACAGTGGCCTATTTGGACTTTGTCCCACTTGCTCTCGAATGAATTTTTTTGTAAAAAATTGCAATTGAACGGTGAGGTTATTTGCACTAGAGTGGTTACCTTCTGCTGACTTAATAGGAAGGTTGAGCTCCTTCAAATCAGATCTCATCACACTTTGTATACAATTTTGATGAACGATATAACAACGCATCTAAACCTCACTACAGATAGCATTCGGAAATACAACAGTGCCGTCGCATCTCACCTAATTTGCATTATTTGTTACTTATTATTCTGTATCCATTATGAACGTGGTGGTCCCCAACTGTTCAAGATCAATAGCCAGATTCACTAAAGTTATGGTCTACTCCATGCACAAAATATCAAAGAGATACTATACATGTACAACTCTGCCATGTGTTAGGTACGGTGAGGCAATGGACACTCATTCGCATAACAATAATTGTCAAATTTGACATAATCCTCATGGCAAGATTTCACAGCGAGATGAATCAATTAGGACAGAAGTACAGAATGATGTCCGTGTCCGACGTAAGGAAAGGAATCGAAATTGCTGCACAAGTATTAGCCCCCCTTCGAAGTATGATTGTTACTGGCTCTCTGGAAAAGACAAACTTATACTTGTATCAAATAAAAAAAAATAATCTCCCTCCCACTGGTGAAAATTTTGTAAGCCTACGGTTTACAATCAAAGATGGCAGTTCTCTAATAAGATCCAAATACGATCTGAGGTTTTTCTTTAAGGATATGGAACCAGTTATCATTAATATTAACTCCTCTACCAGACAATAGATGATAATATGATATTATCCAAGTGTTTTAGTATTTATTTCTGACCATGTACTCGCGTATTTCGTCACTAACGCATCATTCCTTCAGTTTGCTTTGGTCACTTTCGAGGAAAAAATAAGAATCGTCAGCAGAGGACGGTCCAGAAACAACAAAATGACGATTATACTCGACTTTTACGACGCTGATAAACTTAGGATGCCCGGTGCTTATGTTTAGGCGGACTATTTATTAAAACCCCAATTGTCAAGAACATCTGGGTCCAGTTTCGAACCACCGAAAATTTGCTGACTTTTCTCATGATCGAGCTGGCGAGCACACTGATTTTGTTAACTGCCGTCTCGAATCTGCCATCAGGGCAGTCTTCCCCCCCCGCGATGTGTCCTTTGTCCAAGTAGGGGTCTGAGGACAATTGGAACTAAAGTGAAAATCGATACCGCATCATGGGGCAGATCATGGACCGTAGTGTGGGAGAGGCTATTGTCCCTCGAACTGACACAAATGTTGCCCAAACGAGCTGATTGTTCCCGCAAAACTATACTGAAGAGCATGACGTTTAGTTGTAAGTGGATAGTTTTTCTTTATCTTTGATGAGGCAAAATAGGACAGATCATTATTATTTGGCATGAAATAGCATAGAACTTAAAATATTGCAATTCTCTAAAAGTATGGTTTTTTAGGCTGGTAAAATGTTTAACCGATCAACAAACTACATAACAAATTTGGTAACCGATCAGGGATAATTGTGTAAAGTTGGTGATAAACAGAGTTAAAATTTGCACCAAAACATAAATTTAAAAACATTTTAATAGTAAGTTTTTAATTTTAATCAATCGATTTAACTATGGACTTCGCCAGAAAAAAACCACATCACGTAAATCATGTAACTTAATTACTATAAAATAAAGCATAACTTAAAAATAATAGGAAAGTGTGTTGGTTAAAATTGTCTTCAAACCAAATGTAAAATATCAGAAAACAGAATTCCACGAGAATAAATAAACGGTATCAGCATTCTGACACATACTTTCTCCCATAAGCTCGTCAACAACCTTTATCATGCATGGGTAAGCGGTGAGAGTAAAATATATTTTATAGTTGATAACCTTGAAGAAAGCAGCCGACCAGTAGACTGGAATGGGCCTTGTCGTTAAAAACTCAAAACGCACACACATGCAAAAAATACACAAAAGTTGCAATAACTTTTGACCCGTAATTAATTGTTACAGCAATGGTGTGTTGAACTATTTTACAGAATCATAAGGACCATAACATATTAATTTGAAACAAAACCAGCTTTTCTCCAAAAATCCGATTTTCGTTGTTATTTTATGGAAAAATAACATAAGTTAGTTACAATAACATTTGAACCGTAATTTTTACGTAAATGGGATTTGTACCATTTTGTTCAGAATATAAAGGACTATAACATACTATTTTTTTTTTAATCGTTCGGGCCATTTTCGAGAAAATCCGATTTTTCCATTATTTTATAGGGTTTTACGGGAAAATCCCCATTGAAAATCAAAATTTCAAAAAAGATAAAAACGTTCTGAATTTTAAGGACCATAGCATACTAAGTTAAATAAAACCCGGCTTTTTTCTAATAACCTATTTTCGTTATTTTATGGGGGCTTTATGGGAAAATAACATAATTTACTATAACTTTTGAACCGTAATTTTTATAGAAATGGTAGTGAAACCATTTTGTTCAGAATTCAAAGGGCTACAACATACTACATTTTTATCAAAAATTGTTCAAGCCATTTTTTAGAAAATAAGATTTTTCCGTTATTTAATGGTTTTTATGGGAAACCCATTAAAAATCAAAATTTCTAAAAACACACACACACACACAGACATCACTTCGAAAACTACTTTTTTGGGTCTAGGGGCACCCAAAACGGATATATCCACTCAAAACTCAAACTCAAAAATTTTGACAAAAACAATACTTTTCTCCATATACTATGGTGTAGGTAGGGGGAGAAAGTAAAAGTAGCATGACCTACTTCAGCAGAATTTCCAGAAGCTCTTGGATAAAATAAAGAGGATTGAAGTTCTTTTAATTCAAAATCATCAAATATTTTTAGAATAGTGATCTATGCTCTCACAGGATCAACAACTAACAATTGGATGGTCGCCCTTTCAGAATAAAAAATTGACTATAGGCCTACACAAAAAAAAAATTATAATAAATATAATAATATAATAAACTAGCTGACCCGGCGAACTTCGTATCGCCTAAGTTATAGGTTTCCCCTAAGACAGACCGATGGAAAGAAAGTACTGTTACGTTTAATTTTCAAGATGATCTCGTTCGCATCGCTCAATCACGTCCTGGTTGAAGTTCGTTCGCTACGCTCACTCACCTTTGGGTTGGAGCTCGTTCGCTACGCTCACTCACCTTTAGGTTGGAGCTCGTTCGCTGCGCTCACTTGCCTTCAGGTTAGCTCGTTCGCTACGCTAACTCGCCTCCAGGTTGAAGTTCGTTCGCTACGCTCACTCACCTTTGGGTTGGAGCTCGTTGGCTACGCTCACTCACCTTTAGGTTGGAGCTCGTTCGCTACGCTAACTCGCCTCCAGTTTGAAGTTCGTTCGCTACGCTCACTCACATTTGGTTGCAAATTAGCTGTTGTCATAAATGTAAAAGAAATAATAGTGCTGCACCCTGTTGGTAATCCTTGTAACTTTAATGCTATTGAACATCATAGAACAGAACCAACATGTTTAATTGAAACAGCTGTTAAGATTCATTAATTCCGTTTCTCATAAGGTTAACATGGGAAACTCCAGAGCCACTGGGGCGGAGCCCTTTTAAGAATTTCGAAACGGGAAATAGTTTACGTCCGATTCGCATACCTACAGAATTTACACACCAAATTTCATAACGATCGGTGAAGTCGTTCCGGAGGAGTTTGCAGACAAACACTGTTACACGAGAATTTTATATATTAGATATATTTATTGTAGGTACTTAAGAATCATATATATGTTTGGAATTTTTTTTAGATGGAGAGTGGAACATACTTTTCCAGTGAGTCCAGCCAAGTTCCTGGGCGTCGTACCCCACTGGGGGCCATGGGACTGGGGGGCTACTACTACCCCCCTGGACCTCCTTCAGATGAGAACACTCCTGAGCCTAGTCCCCATCACTCTCACAGGTAAACACCCAAACCAGTACCAAATCATTTCATTCATCGAGACAGAAACGTTTAATGCTCTTCTCTTCATACTGTATGGAATCAGTTGTGGATCGTATTATTATGGAATCATTTGTGTAATATTATTCTATCAGATTTATATTTTAACTTATTTAACTTTCTTATTTAAAATCAAACCATCTCCTATCAAAACTATTAATAGTCACCACATTTAAAGGTTTGACACATTCATCTTCATACCTTGATCTATTGCAAAATGATGAACTTATTCCATGAATTCTCGCAAATCAAGTTTTATAATAATTCAAATTAAGTTGAATTTTTAGCTCTGCTATTTAAGAAAAATTAGACAGCATATTGAAATAAAGATATCAGTTTGAAATTAATTCTCATATGTTTCAGACTGACTCCAAACCATCTTGGTGGGCCTGGTAGCAGCTCGTCAGGTCTTGGAGGTAAACCGAAAAACCGTCAAGGAAAGTCAGTCCGCCTCAACATTAACGCTCGGGAACGACGGAGGATGCATGACTTGAACGATGCTTTAGACGAACTTCGCAGCGTCATTCCATACGCTCACTCCCCATCCGTCCGCAAACTATCAAAGATAGCAACGCTTCTACTCGCCAAGAACTATATTCTGATGCAGGCCAATGCTTTGGATGAACTTCGCAGACTCATAGCGTATCTTCAGGTAACGATATTCTCTCTCTTTAAAGCAATAAAACTTAAAAAAGAATTCAGCAATGTGACCAAATCAAATTGGTTTCTTCACATACCTTTATAATTGATTAACAGTTACGTCTAAGGAAAATGTCGGCCTTAGTCAGTAAAAAGACTACAATTCGCGCCACTCAACTCCATTCATTTATATACCTAGTGCATGGTCGCCATTTCAAGTAAAAGTATTAATTGTTATTCCTCATTTCCAGGCACAAGGCCCCATGTCTATGCCCCCAGGGTTCGATCTCCAGGCCAATCTCTACCCAGGCAAGCCTCCGTCCTCCCCTCCACCACAACCACCCTCTGAGCCACCTCTCTCATGAACTAATCAAGACTGAAATTGCTACAGACGCTAAAGCACTTTCATGTATGTTCTAGTCAATTAAGTTCCTCCTTGCAGCAATATTTGCCAACAGTTATATATTGATTTCTACGAATGAAGAAGACTTGCGCCAAGGACGTAGCACAAACTAGAGTTATTATTTATCGAATTATTTTGAAATGTTTCGAGCACTGTACAGTTTGAACAAATAGTTTGGTGTGTTCTTATGAAAACATTCTGTGAAATACTAGCCATTCTATGAAATGATGATACATTATAACCTTCCACATTTACCTTACATAGCCTAAATTACCGAAAACAAGAAGTTATCAGTAAATTATGGTCTGCATTGAGTTTCGTCTCAACAAAGGAAGTTAGATCAAATCCGAAACTAATGCCATGTTTCTCATGTCATCCAATACTTCTAGCCAGGCCACTCTTATTAACTGGGGAAAACAGTTAGTTAATATGAGGGAACTCACTTTTTTCAAAAGGAACGTTTCATGATGTTGGACTCGGATTTGATATAGCTTGCGTGGCTGTGACGGTAGCTCAGCGGAGAACCTAATTTAAGGACAATGCTCATTATTCCTTACTGAATCCCAGCCGAACCAGACTATTTTTTTCAACTGCTCTGTAATTTCTATGGATTTGTCTCCAAAATGATAAGGATCAAAGTTAAATTACCCTAAATTCGGACTTTAAAACACTTGTCACTGTAATTTATGTTGTAACTAGTGGTTAATTTAATTTAGCATATTTTTTTCCTTAAAAAAATTGATGGGGCGAAATATAATGAAAAAAACTGACAAAACTGTGCAACCAAATAGTAGTAAGAAAAACAAATTTATGAGTAGATTTTCACTTCTAGTTACTTCTTGAGCAAAACTTGATTAGAGAAAAAGCTGAACTGATCCAGGAAAAATACAAACCATAATCATGATGTAATTTTCTTATCTTGGGGAATGGTTGCTGATGTCAAAGAAAATTACAAACTAAGGGTCCCATAAGAGTTGTTTTAGTTTTTTTTACAAATGCTTTGCTATTGACTTTTGTTGGGAGGGTAAAGTTTATTCTTAATTGGTTTTACTGCTGTAATTTTTTTCATAGTTTTAAACTGAATGTACATTGGCTTAAAATAAAATAAGAAAAGGGCCAGTTTCAAGTTGTGTTCTTGTATTTTCTAAAACTTTGATCACTTTTCATTGGAAGGTATTCTACATTTGTACAAAAATTCAAAATACCCCAAACAGACTAAGCAAATTTCCATTTGTCTCATTGGATTTTTACCAAAATGTTTTTTAAAAAAATGTCAGATTTAATTCCTTCTTTGTGGATCCCTTTAAAAAATTCTCCATCAAAATTAGAACTATAGGTCGGCCGCTTAGAAAGCGACCTCCTCCAGCATTGGTTTAGCATTAGCACGCAGGTCGTTTTCTAAGCGGCCGAACTATAGAAATTTTTCTTTAATCAAACCATTTTACCTCAAATGGTAAGTTAACTGCTTACACCAGGTCTACGATTGTGTAGAGAATATATTTAGTAGGCTCAATATGTTCAGCAGATTGTGGATGTTAATAGTAAGCAATTTTGTGTGATAAATAAATGTTGTTTGTTTGATTACATAGAATTATTTATTTTGATAGCATTTAACTACGCAACGTGATAGCAATAAGATTGTCCATAAGTTAAGCATTTTAATTGATCTGTGCGTAATTTTTTTAATGGTTAATGGGTGAAATAGCAATAAATGAAGAAACTAATATATTGTCGCTTATTTCACTACCCTATATGATAGCATAGGATTTAGATAGACATTACACCTATTTAAAACACTCATTCTTTAAAGTACCAAAAAGTTAGTTTTATTGTTTTATATTAATTTGCCACGATCAACTTAAATGGTAATTTCAAAAGAATTTGGTTGAAATTAACTTAGTCCATTCATTTTCTACTTTCTATACTCATACAAATGTTCATGGCATCAATGGTTGTGTGATTTGTCCTTTCAACACAGCAAACTACAATATTTGTCCACTTTTCTACGTCATTGAAATGTCTTAACATTGTGAGAGTGAGGGAACTGTTTACATAATGATTTTATTACTAGCTAATGTTAAAATTTTGTTTGCATCATTAATTTCAAACCCCCAATAGCCCAATAGCAAATGACATCTGGATCCAGAAACAATCTTCCTTGGAATCAAACCAGCGACTTCAGATTTGAAGGCAAGTACTATAATTACTCAGCTACCCAGCCTCAAACTATTTTGATGAAAAGTGGTGGTAGGTGCGTGGGAGGGGGCGAGGTGTAGGAGAGGGGTTGGTGCGGGAGAGAGGGGGGTGTGCGGGGAAGAGTGCAGTCATTGGAAAGAGCAGGAAAGAGGTGCCTTGGTACTGCGAAACATCTGGTTACTGCTCAAGCACCTGCTAGTGTGTCTGAAGAGAAGGCGGATATAACCACTTCCCGTCCGGAACATCAAAAACCATATGTGGACATATCCTTCACCCGTCCTTTATCGCCAAAGACTTAGGCGGAAATATCCGTCACACGTCCGCGAAGGGTAAAAAAAAACCCTTATTTCTGTAAAAATTACAGGTTTAAAAGTTTTTGCAACTTATTTTCTTAAAAACCAAGTAACTACCACCGCTTGGTAAGTGTTGTTGACAAGCTAATGGGAGAAAGTATGTTAGATTAGTGATGCCCTTTATTTAAACTTTAATACTGTGACAATGATACTTTTACTGTTGGCTGAACAGTCCTTAAATAAGCAGACACGACTGTAATAGAAAATGAGCTATCACGTCAGATGGAAACGTTCCTTTATTAGCCCTCATATTCGGTAACATTTTAAAATACAGCCCTAAAACAACAGAGTAAATGCAGTTTAGTAAAAGTGTGTTAATAAAAGTTAAACAAATTATTTGAATACACACATTCCAAACCTTTTCAGATTTATTTTTAGTTAGCAAACATACCTATTTTGTTCAATCCAAAACAATTATAATCCAGAGTAATTTCATTATATAAATTTAACTAACACGCAGAAACACATCTACCTGGCTAGCTGCTGCTGTGGAAGCTGTTCTACAGGAAACGTGGATTAGACAAGCATAACAGCAAAACAAAATCGGTTTTGGAAAGAGAAAATGTATTTACATTTATTTCTCTTACATAACAAATTAACAAACATGAAAATAAAAAATTCTCTTAACATAATAAAATATAAAACTTGTGAACCAAAGTCAATTAGCCTACGTTCAAAAAAGTATCAAGTTTTTAACATTCTAAGGCAAAAAACAACTTGAGTAGACATCACTTGTCATTTAAAATTACTTAGGTCCATACCAGTTATATAACTATTACAGAAAGCCAAAAACTCAGCTTAAGCCTTTGAAAAAAGTTTGGACTCAGATTTACATTAAGTGATAGAACCAAAACCCTTAAAATCCAAAAGAAACCTTATCAATCAAAATCCTTTTGTTATTACAAAGAGGTTTAGGTTAGGTTTGGTTAGTTTTTTAATAATAAATATAAAGATTTTTTAACTACGCCACAAAAAAGTGAAATTGTTTTCAACTTTGATTTTGTCATCCTCTAATATACATTTTAATCATAGAATAGCCTAAAGATGTGAGGTATTTACTTGGTTGTTTTAATTAATTAAGTTATTGACGAATAAATTCGATTAATTTAGAAACACATGAGCTAGAGTATAATGATTTTACTGAGGAAACAAATTTGTTGTGCCAATACTTGAAACTAAACATAATCAACTCTTGTTATTCCCCAATGTGTTGTAAATGTAATTTCATTGACAATTTGAATTTTTTTTTTATCGAGCATTGTGTCTGTATTTAGGATTTTTGTGAGGATAGCATGCTTAACTGAGTGGAAAAGAGTCTAAAATTGCATAGGAAACACAAAACATTGGAATATTTCACAGCTACTGACAGAATGTTTAACTCGGGAAGGTATGAGTTGCGAAGAGATTCAGGCCAATTTGGACTCTTTTCCATTCAAATATTAATAAGCCTACTATCCTAAAAAAATCCTAGACCCTTGTGCTCTATGTAACGTCCATGTGTTTTAATTTAGTTTACATTGTCAGGGCTTTCTTTGTTATAGAGCTGGTATTCAGACTAATCTTTGTAGTCGGCCGGTTTTGTGATGTGGATGACTCTTCTAACACTGTCAACAATTCTTGCGTACAGCCCCAAAGCTTTCGCTTCGTCCAGATAAACTCTTTCTTCTTCACCGGTAAACTGCTGGTCTCTCTTGAAAATATCCTTTCGTGAAGAATCATCGGCAAAACACTTCAACTCCTCCCTGACTGTGTCCCGGAACTGTGCCTCACTGTCATCCACTTCGGTTATCTGAGAAATAGAATTGTTAGTAACGAGCAGTAGTGTAGTGTCAGACAAAACAGGGAAAAATGGTAACTATTGTTGGGAGTAAGAATACAAAATCTCAATCCAAACCGCTTTAACTGTTGTATTTTTAGCGATTTATAAGAAAAAGGCTATAATATGTCAAACAGAGTTTTCTTCAATTTATATTAATATTCTCTTGTATTTCATAAATAAGATGGATCCTACTATAAACATAGATCTCAGTTAGTATACAGCCAATCTCCAAATATGGAGATCCAAATATTATAAATAGCTGAATTATTGAGTAATGTATACACAGTATCTTCCATAAACTCAATAACAATAAACGTAAAAAACCAACAATCCTCAGCCTCTCCAAGCTTTAATTACTACATATTTGAATCTCGTTCATAACCTTTTGCCTCTTTCTTTGAGTCATTCAATTTTTGGATTAACATTTCTTTATACAAAACAAAAGATTGGTCAACTATTGAATAACCTACTTTCACAGTAGAAGGAGCCATGTTTCCAAACGCTCTACGCATCATTAATTTCTCTTCCTCCATAGCATGAATTTTCTTCGCCTCAAGCTGGAACCATAAAAAAAGCTATGTGAGATGTTGTGGCAGAACTTAAATGTTTGTCAGAGAGCCCTAGGCCCGTAACACTACTGTTTTTTATGCTGATAAGCTTATTAATAGACAACAGACAATTAATCTTTATTTGCCCATCATTTTGAACTACTTTTTTAAGCTAAACTCAATGCCGCAATCCATTTTTTGTTATCAAGTTTTATTTATGAAATATTGCAATTTTTTTGTTAAAAATGTCAATATTTCAAAATAAAAAAATTAAAATGAAAAACGGATCATGGAACTAAGTTCAGCTTAAAAAAGTAGTTCGAAATGATGGGTCACAACACCCCCTTCATATTTAAAATAATTTATCACATTTCAAAATGGCGGATCCAAGATGGCGGCCGAAAAAAATACATCAGTCATAACCAAGTAAAATAGGTCGACAATTACTGGTAGTGTATACTTATTTTTATCTAGCACTATTTTGAGTTTATGGTCTTAGTTTGTAAATGCACAATGTTAAAATGGGCTAAAAATAAAGTTTTAAAAAGCCCTCATAACTTTAGAATGAATCAAGATTTTTAAAAACGAGTTGCGGCATTGTAATCAGGGTAAAAATGTAGTTCGAAATAATGGGTCACAACCCCACCTTTACATTAAAAAAAAAATTTTTGCATCCAATATGGCGGATCCAAGATGGCGGCCGGAAATGACCACCTTGTCAAAATGAAGTACCTACTACCCAATGTTTGGAAGTGGTCTGGGATTGATATTTGAAAAAATGTAGAAAAAAGTTGGGGGGGGACAATTAAAACTCACCCTGTATATCAAATCCAATGTATGTTTGTTTGTCCTTTATGGACTCCGAAACCGCTCGACAGATTCTAATGAAACTTTCATGCATTATTAAGCATTATTCAAGGATGGTTTTTGTGAAGTTTGGTGCAGATCCGTCAAAAGGGCTCCGCCCCAGTGTCTCTGGAGTTTTCCATGTTAACCTTATGAGTATTCATATTTAAATAGAATTAAAGAATCTTAACAGCTGGTTCAACTAAAGAATTTGATTCTGTGATGTTCAATAGCATTAAACAGTTAATAGGTTTAACAATAGGGTGCAGCACTATTATTTTTTTTTTATTTATGACAGCTAATTTGCAACCAAAAGGTGAGTGAACGTAGCGAACGAACTTCAACCTGGAGGCGAGTTAGCGTAGCGAACGAGCTAACCTGAAGGCAAGTGAGCGCAGCAAACGAGCTCCAACCTAAAAGTGAGTGAGCGCAGCGAACGAACATCAATCAGGACGTGATTGAGCCATGCGAACGAGCTCATATTGAAAATGAACGAGCATTTGACATAAAACCACATTAGGACAGGACGACGTCTGTCGGGCCAGCTAGTTAAGAATATTAGTCAATAACCAATCCGTTTGCTTAAATTAAAACCTATAACCTTTGTTGAAGATTTAAGCTCGAGCTGAACGAATCTAAAGTCTTGTATTAAATGTTGTCCAAATGCTGTATGTTGTACAACTAGACCATACTCAGTTTGCTTACATCTTTCAGTGCCTGAGAAATAGCCGTCTCCTGTGGCCGCAGCCGCTGAGCTCTCAGCAGATGATCTTTGGCAGCCCCATACTCTCCAAGCATCATTTTCGCATACCCCCAACTAAAAATATGAGAGTTAAAGTCAAAAGTCAAAGTATTTATTTGCACATAACATTTATGGGTTACAGCAGGTAACATCAAACTGGTGCATCGTCATAACATTTAGAAAAAAGAAACAATACAACTAGCTATGACACAAATAAACATCTAAATATTTAACAAATTCTTCAACACTTTATATACTTAATTCTAAGAGGAGCCGCTTCAAATAAGACTTATATCTAATTAAATCTAGCTGCTTTACATGGTTCGGTAATTTATTATACATTCTTCTACCCAGCTCAAAAGTTGAATTAATTCCCCTTCGATAGTTACATTGGTCAGTTCTAAAATAATTGTTTTGCCTAGTAAAGTAGTTATGAACAGAGCTATTAGTTAATTGTCGAATAGAGGATTAACCCTACGACACTTTTAGCTTTGTTCAAGGAAAGGCTTCAGGCGGGATTTTGATTTTTATAAGAGGAAAGATAGCAGCTAGCTTAAGTGAGGAAAAAGTTCAGATAGGCCATTGTACACATTGAAAAAACAGAAAATAGACACAAAACACACAATATTTGTCAACGTTATGTATTAAACGCTCTATGTTTACACTTGGTAAAGCCTTCAGGTGAAAGTATTGAGTGTTTTGTGCTTCCAATGTGTACTATAGACTATCTGTTTTTTTTTTGTTTTTTTTAAGTAACCTAGCTTACTTTCAATACTGCAGCAATAAGGTATTGAGAAATGAAAATGTTTTTGCTATAAGGACAAATTATAGCAACTATCAACTTTTTTTTAATGACACTACAATTTGGGGTTATAGCTGTATAAAATAAAATATTTAAGTTTTGAATCACATTACCTAATCAAAAATATGCTACATCAACATTTTACTATATATTGGTGGATATGGGGGCATGAGATAAATTATTTGTGATTCTAGGGGGCATGCAAAAGAGGTTGAGAACTCCTGATATAGTTAATAAAAATTTAATAGCAAAGGCAGTTTACTTAAAAATGTCGCCGTTCATTTATTTGAGACTTATAAATTGTAAATTTGTCATGACACTTACAAGTAGAGCAGTTTGAATTCAGAGAACACCTTGCTTTTATCAACGTTGATAGCGTCTGCGACCAATACACAAATACGCTTGTAATTTTTTAGATTTTTGTAGCATAGGCAAGCGTTTTTGTAATACTGTATCAAACGAGTATTTCTTTCTTCTTCCTCCACATCGTCTGCCAATCTTGTATTATGCATCACGTTGATTGCTTGACGGTATCTGAAAAGAAGATATTAATCAATGTGAAGTACCATACGTTCATTTCACCTATTCACTTGGCAGTAGGAAACTGAGATAGGTTACTGTTCTTTTATTTCCAAGGCTCTCCCCCGGAATTGTTTTTTACATTGATTCAGAATAGGCCTTTAGGTAGTGGCAATATCACGTTGAAAAAATCCATTAGTGATCAGTGGGATCTGAATTGAATGCTTGCTATAGTTGGACAGTGGCAAGTGAAAATAAATACACTGTATTTATGCAAAGGCCATTTCCTATTAGGAAAATGGCTACAAACAGTCTGTATCCGGTTCACTCCAAGAGAACCTTATAATCGTCATATGAGTCTTATTTAATACAACTTGAACTTATTGAGACGTAGTAAGCACTTACTTATCAACGGCAGCCCTGTAGTTGCCATTGTTGAACAAATCATTACCAAGCAAGTGATGCTTGTTGGCAATCTCCTTGGTATTTTTGAATGCCCTTCGTTCATACATATCAAGTTCATCTTGGTTCTCGACTACGTCTCCACAATCTATGAATCTGTGGAGTTCCACAATAAACAAGACAGTTGCATCTGTAACAAAACAGAACACAATTAAACTACCAATCCATCTGATAGAAACAAGCCTTGCTTTGGTACATTGCTAGTCCAGGAGATAGTGTTTCACGGACGAGTCAAGGTTCTTACCAAACAAGTATGATAAACACATTTCAGACGAGTGTCATACTATTTTTGAATATTCTACCCTAAACTAAAAGACCACACACTGACTTGAAGGGCTCACTAGGACTACTATCAACATTTTTTAGAAGTTGTGTGTTTGTTTATAATATATACCCACTGCCAATAAAAAATATACTCCTTAATAACAAACTTTTTTTAGCGAGTATTCCATATAGAGAATTAGCCATTACTATTTTCCCTGTAGCAGCAAACCTAATGTTACACTATTAACTCAAATTATCTGAATCAATTGGTACCAGACCCCATTTGAATAGTAATCAAAAATTTGGATGATTAGATTAGCGAAATTTAGAGTATTTTAAGGAAAATAGGACGAGTCATGCCAAGTCAAGTTTATGTTAGTGCGATCGCAGAACGCGTCTGCGACAATTTCTCGAATATTTACAATTTGGCAGCGATCATAAAGGAGGGAGACAATGACCATGTCTACTCTGTTGCAGGAAACGTTTTTAACATAATAGAATCGGAATCGAACATTTCTGGAATCATCCCTATCCCATAATTAATAAAAACCAATGTGGTTATTTCACTTTAGTTACTTAAGAATATTCACAATTACTAAAGTTACCAAACATTTTTTTTTATTTTCCAGACGCCCATAATTGTAATGCAAAGAATCGTCTTATAAAACTAAAAATATAAAAGATGTATATGAGCTGGTATATCAAGCAAAATTACTGTTGTACGATATGAAATCCCATTTAACTAAGCAGAAATCAAACAATAGTTTTTGAGACAAAATCCATACAGAATAATGTGGAGAAAAAATTGTCTACGGCAAAGATAGATGCGTAATGAAAATATATTCTAACCGGGAGGGATACGAGGAGGACACCCCAACTTTCCGAAGGCCAAGTCCGGGTGTATGAGTACTTCAGCTTTCTCCCCCTTCTGCATGGTAAGGATTGCCTCCTGTAGCCCCGGCAACATTTGAGTTTTGGAGAAGTCAAAGGGAATAGGATCGTCTTTCTCTCCTCCAGCCTGCCACAATGTGCTATCAAACGGGACCTCCGAATACTCAACGTATGCTTGATACCTCACATAGACTACAGCGTTGGGAGGCACTTGGGGACCCACTCCACGTTTAACTACCTGTAAAATAGAAATCTCACATTACTTTATTCAACATTACAGGTGAAAAATGTTCAAAAGGTTTTCATATGGTGTAAGAGGATATTAGTGAGAAGAGCAGGCTCTTGGCCTGAATGAAGACCTGAATGGGAAAGCCAAATCGTCACAAAAAACACAAATGTACACTAACTAACAGTAAATAAAACATTAACTTAAATAATATTTAAATGTCACTGTCACATTTTCAACTACCTATTGTATGAGTTAAAGAGATTTTTCATCAGGCCTAGAATCATGTTGTTTTACGATACGATTAACCGTTAGGCTGCTGGGGCTTGTAAAAAAAAACTTGTTCTGGTGTTTTAGCTTATTATAGCTATCTGCCATTTGGGTTTTTGGGGCCTCCTCCAGTACAGAGGGCCAAAGCTGTTTGCAGCTGAGGGCACTATTCACCCTGGACCCAGGCCTGCTTATGACTTCCTTGATTGAACAGTTCGACAAAGGAAAATTTTTTTTCTGCAACTCAGAAGGTAATAACAGTAACAAAAAATTTTGCATACTGGGTTGCAGAAGCCTGGAAAAATTTTTCAGATAGACCATGTACAGTTAGGAAATCATGAAGGAAGTATTTTGGTAAACAATAGTTATATAGGAAAAACGTTCATCCTCGTTTTGAATCTGAAACTGATGTGAGGGAGCCCATTACACAATACGAATAGGCTTAATAGTTTTTATAGGCCTCTAGATTTATAGAACAAATAGAATGTTAAAGTAAATGGTATGTTAATCATGTTACACTACAGTAGCTTATTATAGCCCATATTTTTTAACCCTTAAGGTTTTGGGAAGGTAACAATTTCATTCTACATGAAATCTCTATCATCGCAGATTGATAAATCTGTTTTAAAGAAACATATAAACAATGGTTACTTACAAATTTTTTCACTTTTCCGTCTTCCCTAATGTCCACCATTTTTCTACGGAACTTATCAAATGGTGTACCATCTTCTGTATCTTCAACATCAATCATGTCCAAATTTATAGTGTTTTGGATTTTCTCAAAATCAAAACAAGATTCAGGAGAAGTCCATTCCTGATCTTCTAGATCTTCATCAGGCTTAATCTCAAACTCAGTTTTACGATTGGCTAACAATTCTCTGAAAGAAACAAATTTAACACACAATAAGCAATACAATAACCAGTGGAAAAGCCCAGTTAAATTTATAAATTTTGAATTAAGTTTTGGTTTAAACACTGTAAAAAGGCTGTATCGTAAGCAAATATCAATCATCTGTATTCTACATTTTCTTATGTGCTGTTTGGTGAGAAGCTTCAAGCAAGTAATATTCAAAACTTTGTAGTACTAGTGTTGTGATAAGTAATGAGACAAGGAAATTAAATAATCATTCCCAATAAATAACTGCAGGTAAGTAATAATGAATTTTACAGTATTGTTCACTTGAAAAATAAAATGTGGAACATTTGTTGGCAAATAGGACTACAACAACAACGGCACTGCATAAAAAGTCACTTAGGTATTATATTATATCGCTAAAGAGCTATCACCCGTTTTCATTGACCCTGTGAGTGCCATCGCGACTCGCTCCAAGACGCACCATTGTCGTAGCTTGAGTGCCAAGACGGCCGAGATTGTGCTAGAAATGGATCATCTGTCCACTTCCATTTGTATATTGCATGGCCTACTCTTGGGTTTAAGAACCAAAACGGCTTCAAAATGTTCTTACCGCCAACAAACCCTACTCACACCCGCAATGTAGTAGACTTTGGAAATAAGTTATAAACAATAATTTATCATTAAAATGCTCCTCCGATCCTGTTATACGACAACCTGATCGATATGGTAGTTGAAACGTAAAACATTATGTGATAGGCATAGGCATAGTGTATTAAATTTTTTTTCGTATCATCTAAAATGTGTTCACTTTAATTACCGAACCTATATAATAAATATTTTTAATTTAGCTAATTAATTTGTCTAATTAAATGTTTAATTCAATTTGAGCAAACTTGGTCTCCTGGTACTGTTCTTTAAAATAAATATTTGAATGTCAATGAATAATTTAAAATTAGCCTATATTTTAATTCAAACTATAGAAATGAAAATAAATTTTACAATATTTCTGTCAATTGTCTCATGTCAATTGTTTCTACATTTATTGTAACTCATATAGGCCTAAGTTAAGTTCAAGTAAAATTAGTATTTTACAATGCACAATCTAATAATCTACCAAACAAAACAATTTGAGTCCAAAAATGTTAATAAAACAAGTACAGTATTTTATGATGATATTACTAAACGGGTAAATCTTATGAGGGGAAATGGCTGTAATTCCTAGCAGGTAGGCTAAGTTATGCATGGCAAACCTCAAATACTGCGGCCCTCAATGGGTTAACATTTACTAGACCCTTCTATAAAGTGGGCTTTGCCTGCCAATCTCTTACAGCAGAATCTACTCAAAAGTAGACCTATACGATATTAAAAGGTTTAGCAAACAGGCCACTTATTCCTGACTGAAGAAATAATTGGGGCTTTTTTCTTACAACAGACACATTACATGTTAAAAATTTTCTTTAGAGTGGGCTTAGTGTACATAGTATACCGGTAACTATCTGTAATTTATCTAGTGTAATATGACATATAGGCCTAATAGTTTGTATCAACGAACACAGATAAAACACTGAAGGATTCAAGTAACTGTTCTGAATTTACTAATCCGCATATGTCCAGACATGTTGACATGTTGTTGTCCAGAGATGTTGGCAGACATTGCCAATTCAAACCCTGAAATAGCTCTGGTGTTAGTTTACAATATGAAAACCAAACAAATCACAGTAACCTAACCATAGGCCTATATATCAGCTTATATTTTTAAATATTTCATGTAGGCATACCTCTCTAAGCCCCTTCACTTTCTTCAGCCAGTAACTGTTAAAGCACACTGTACATTGCCTTTTAAAACACCTTAATACATATAAAAATTAAAGTAGGCTACTGAATCTGTTTAATGTGGATGCGCAATGAAGTATTCTAAATTATAGAAAAAGTGTGCTAGTTACTCACTGCACATGCAGTCCTCCTTTTATATTCATAACTGGATCGTTCAAGTCATCGTAGTTTGGTTGCCTTCCTTCGCTTACAGGCATTTTGAAGCCTAGTCAAAAAAGCTCCTGTAACACAAAAGTATTTGTTGATGTTTCTATTTATTTGATTTTTTTAAGTAGTACCTACAAAGATTTACCAATTTGACTGAAATACAATTCACAGGTGTAACAGGTAAAGGGTATCCTAACTGATTAATAAGTTACATTTGACAACTACATTTTTACTGTGTGAAGATTAAATAAAAATAATTAATTTCAACAATCTGTGCTTTGGTACGCCAAATTCTTGAATATGGCTCTCCAGTGTGGAACCCCCACCAGAAGTTTCTCATAGAGGAACTAGAGACTATTCAAATTGAAGATTTTTCCGAATGGTGGGTGTCAGGAACGGCTTTCTCTATCGTCAGGTTCCCATCGAGGAAGTATCTCGTGATCTGGGACTCCAAACTCTGCAGATCGCAGATTCTCCGCTGACGTACTGCTGTCAAAGATCCTTAACCCTAACTTAGCAGTGGCCAATGTTAGAAGTGGGGAATGGCCAACCCATTTTGGCATGATTGACTGTCCCAATATGCTGAGCTGGATCCTGTTTAGGACCCCTTCAGCCACTCACTCTAGATACCTGTTCGCTAGGCAGCAACATCGTACCAACTACACAGCAATCGACACGATGTACCGACTTCAGAGATCTTGCAATAGCGTCGCTGACTTTTTTGTGGACAGTATAGGCCTACCAGTGCCTGTTTTTTATTACCTGTGTTATTAGTAGCCTAAGCCTTACTTTCAGAATGATGGTAAAATTGTTATGTTTGAGAAAACTGGATGTTAACATGCTCAATAAATAGATCTGGGGTAATACAGGTCGCACATAGTAGGCCTAGTAAGTAACTTAAAGGCCTATTTTCTTCAACTAAACCTAGGCCTAGGCCAAGGCTTAGTAAGTTTAGGGCCTACATTTGGCTGGACTAGGAATAATAAATAGAAACAAAAAATCAACATGAAATGTACCTCTAGGCTATTTAGAAGTTTTAAAAATATACAGTAGGCTGGTTGTCCAAATTCTCTAAGTTAAAACACTGGTGTCCACGTAATTGTGCTGTTTTGGTCTACTTCACTAATCACTACTTCTTTTTACTTTAAACTTATGTCTTATGTCTGCCCTACTTTCTTTTCTCTGTCCGTCTAACAACAACAACTTCCTTCTTCTTGAATCTTCATGTTTCAGTTTCAGTGTTTCAGTTCAGTTTCACTTTCACTTTCACAGTTTCACATTCACAATCACAACACAAGTCCGTCCACGAGGTCCAATAATGGTCCAATCCAATACTAAAACCAAACCAAGTCTACATCATATCATCGCCAACATCGCCAAGGCTGTGTTAATTTTGGGGTTATGGACTGGACTGGACTGAGCTGAGTATAGATTCAAATCAAAAGTCGCCAAAGTCAAAGTCGGTGTCAAGCAAGACTGTCAAGTCAAGCTAAACAACGTAAACAAAAATAACTGTTCCCGTCATTAGGCATATACTACACAGAATATTATTTATCCATTATGGATTTGGTCTATGCCTTATATAGAAAACATAACACATCTGCGAAGATACACCCTGAATTCGAAAGGTAGGTAACCTTTTTCTTTTCTTCAGTCCAAAAGTTACACATACATAGGTCTAGGCTATGTTCACTAATTTCACTGACATAATATAAGGGTTCATTTGATTGTATGGCCTTAAGCCTAGTCTATTCATGTTCATGTTCGTATAGCCTATAAACTGCATTCACAGTTTATAAGGTTCTAACTTAGGCTACAGTGAATAGGCCTAATCTTAGGCCTTGCTTAACCCTCCAAGTGTCCATAGTTTAGGCCTTAATGTCCACCTATTTTTGGCGCATTTGCAAGGTTTTATTAAAACGGATCTGAGGAGCTTAAAACAATGTTAATTCTAATGTTCTATATACCATTTTGTTTGGAAAATCATGGGCTTCAATATTATATATAAAACATAAGGAACATTTTTTCAAAAAAAAAATTTTTAGGTAAAAAAAATATAATTTCGAAAATTTTCAAAAAAAAAATAAGTTCGCGCTCAATGAAATTGTATAAATTATAGGCCTATAAATATTTGAAAATAGCCACTTTGTTCTAAATTTTATGAGGATTACAAATATATAATAATATAAGGAAGTATATTTGCAAATAAATAAGTTATGGGCAAAAAACTGATTTCAGTACATAGCGTTTAGCTAAGAATGCATAGCCTAACCATAGCTAGGAATCTGGCTGATAATTTACATCAATATCACTACCTACTTCTTCAGGATCATCAACCAGCACTTCAAAACCACTTAAATCTTCTTATAATGCACCACGTATATCACTACTTTTGATTTTTAACACTAAAACAATGATAAACGTAATAAAACACATCAGTCATCGGTCCGGGGGAACCTAGCTGTTTACAAATACACGCACGTCAGCTGTCTGCTACAATATTTTCGGAACTAAAATGAATAGCGCTTAGAGACAGACCTCTGGAGAAAGCTTAGAATATTACGGAAAGAACGATACCTAACTCGATCCAGTTCAATCCGATTCAGTCAGTCATAGAGCCTTCGCCGTAAACGATGTCTGCGTGTCGAAAAATCGACAAGTAACACTACACAAAGTGTGCTGCTTGTCGAATTTTCGTCAAGTAACACTGGGAGGGTTAACTTAAATGACTATAACTTTTATATCATAGCCTACATTAAAGTATCATGTAGACTCAATGATACCAAGTTGTGTAGCCTAAGTTTAACTTAAGCTGGGTTTTCCTAGGCGCGTAGAAGAGATTAACATGGTGTTCCGCTCCGCTTCCATTTATGCTATTAACTAGTTACTCTAGTTCTTAATATACAAATAACTACAAATTAAAAACATTTACAATTTATATTTTAGAGTTGTTTTTTCTTGATTAAGGCCCTGAATGAACCATAGCCTATGATTTGGAGCTCTTAATGTCCTGAGGGAGGCAATTATGTTATCTCTTGTTGAAGTTTATTCAGCAATTCAGTGTTTATCTCTTTTCCAGATCCCATGACAAAATATTATTTTTTCTTATTAATGTCTAAATCAAGGGGGAGCCTACTATTTCTCTTACTACTTACAATCTCACTATTTTTCAAACGGTCCCAGAAACCTGTAGGGTTTTCACATGAGGCAAGCTTGTTAAAAAAGAATATTTTCTTAGCCTCTTGGATCATGAAATTCAAACTACTATTTCTTATGGTTTTATACTCATACCAGTCTGAAGAATCTCTGGTCCTCCAATATTTGTTACAATGTTTATTTTCAACAATTGACAATTCTTTAATTGCTTCATTTATCCAAGGAGCTTTTTCCCGTGTTATTTACCTTCTTACAAACAATAGGAGCAACCTCACCAAACACTTTCACTTTCTCTATATGATCAGTAATAAAATGCTCTACCTCATCAGGAGACTCAAGCTTGTACACACAATTCCAGTTAGTTTCAGCAATTAATTCTACATGCGTGGGTTCGTACGTGTGTAATCCATTAGAACCTAACTTAATATGTGGCTTAGCTGATGGGAGAGGCCCACCTTAAATAAACAGTGGCAGTCTTAAGTTAAGTGGGAGTTGACAGCATTAAGTTATTGAGTTACCTAAATAAGTTTGGGGATTGTCCATTACACCTGTCCTGCTCCTTATTAAGTTACATTTTAGTAGGCTATAGAGGTGGAGGACACATATTGTTCTTTTTAAACTTTCATTTTAGTTTAATAAGGAATTTAAATGTTACAGCTTGCATGATGGTGAAACACTATGTTCTGTGTCAAGTCAGAACATCGTGGCATTTACAACCCGTACTGAGCTCGACGATGTATCAGGAAAGACTTGGGGTTCACATGTTTACGTGGCAGATCTGAACACACCATGGTTCAGCCACAAGTAAGTCACTGGTGTTTACACCCCATTGTTTAAAACAAAGTACAAAAAATTGTTCTCCTGTTGTAGGAAGAGCTCCTAACCGTGGAAGTGTCTCTTTTTCTAATTAGGATATTGCTTTTCTTCCCAATCTAGTTACACTTTACTATAGTTGAACAAATTACTGTAGACCTATATAAATATGGCTGGCTATTATGTGGCTGGAGGTGGAGAGATTACTTAAGAAAACCTAAGCTATGCAGCCGAGAAACAGGTGCACAAGAGATCTTGAAGCACAGTGTGTTTATTTATCTACATTGCCATCATTTTTAGGCAATTAATCTGTTAAATGTTTACATGACAGACACATGGAATTTGCTAAGTAAGCCTGTTTATTCTAAGGCACCTATAAAAACCTTGTAGACTCTCATTTCTGCAGATAAATGCTCACGCGGTGGCACCAGAAAAATAATGTGTTTCCAATAAGCAAATATTCCTGCCCACAATTCACACTTTTCGCTGCATTGCTGAGAATTAACACCATGCTCTACCTCAAGTTCACTTATAATTCGTACAATATCAAGACTCAACATGCACAAATAGCCAATGTTTATTTATGCAAGCTATTTATGCAGTCTGTAGAGGACAATAGAAAAGATTAAAGTAGTCACGGAACGGAGCTGCTGTTCCGCCACCATCTTCCTAGTAGGCAAATACCATCACAAGCCTTTTAGTAATAAGTACCTAAGTAATATTTTTGGTAAATAATGGTAAAATAAGAAGGCCCTAAATACAAAATATCTTATTTTTTACTGTTGTAAAAATAGTTTCCAGTCTATTTCAAAATTTAAGACAATATTTAAATAACTTCTTGATCAGCATTGTACATGTTATTAAATTTACGGAAAGTAAATAAAAGAAACGTCTTATAACACTTAAAACATATATTTACGCTAATACTGTTACTCACAAGATGGTAAGATATACAAAGAAAGTGGTGATCAATTTTGATTGGACACTCCAATAGAAATCAATCACCACTTACCATCTTTTTTGTATATTTACTGTCTTGTGAGTAACAGTATAAGCGTAAATATATGTTTTAAGTGTTATAAGATTCTTCTTTTATTTACTTTCCGTTGATAATATTTAGTTAAAAATTAAAGAACAGGGGAGCCATGTTGTAATTGGAACAGCCTTAGCTATTAAAGTTTGGTATATCCATATCCGCTATATTGTAGTCCTACTTGGTGTAACTATACCAACTAATCTGTTAAACATGACAAATGTAAACAAATACAGTCTAATAGAAAAATAGGCTTTTAATTAAAAAAAATTTTCCTTAAAGAGTGACGGAGAAAAAAAATACTTTTAAGTGATGATTTAGATAATCATTCTGTACAACTTAATTATCTGTAATTCTACTCATAAAAATTTTAAGATGAAATCCCATGTTCCATAATGTAAAAGATACCAAAATATTTTGCTAAGCTAAATTGTGTTAAATCTGTTTCATCCTTTGTTTAAAAAAAACTGATTTTGTAGGTATAAAATAGCATTCTGTATCATTAACTAATCAGTTGATTTTGCCTCAAGGATTCTGTCAAGTCCAGCTGTTGTCACTGCACTGGAATGGGATCTCCCGGGACACAAATTGTTGGTGGCCGACTCCAGTGGGACCGTGTCTTTGTGGACGTTGCGTGACTACATTCTCAACGACTGGCAATGCCTCGGTTCCGTCAGCTTCCCGGGAGAACACATCATTGGTGCTGCTTTCTTTCACAATGGGAAGAAGGTTTGATACTCTCGTTGTCCATGTTCTATTTTATTATATGTTTATTTTTGAGACAGGCCTAGCCTACAAGCTCGTGCAACTAAAATTGAGCTCAAGCCAAATTTGTTGACTGTGGTCCCAAAACATGTGTTCATAGATTGTGAAGTTCTCTTTACTGGAACTGTGTGTTGGATTAAATGAACGTTACCAGTTTTTACTAGTTTAGTTCATAGCTTTAATCATATGATAAACATGTCTAATGGTATTGCAGATTGTGATCGTACCCGAAAAGAAAGACAATTACTTATACAGTGAGAAGTTCACACACGTAAGATTTGCACCTTCCGTTCGACAGTTTGGCGGAAGATCAGTTGAAGGATGTCTGGTTATTAGTACCACAGGTAATTTGTTATTTCATTAAAGATTTTAGATTATCAACTAAATACTTGCTCTAAAACTGACTGAAGTTTGACTATAGCTGGCCAGTACTGGTTAGAGCAAGTTTAACTACTGGCTAGGCAGTTAAATGGTTAGAGCGCTCATCACTAAAATAATGTGAACATAATATCTGGTTTGATCACAAGAATGAGTAATTCTCTACTGAGTCATTGATTTATGATAAAATTTAACAGGTTTGGCAAAGTAAAAAAAATTATTTGGATATTTCCCCTCATAAAAGCACATAAAAGACGTAGCGTAACAAGATCATTAAATCTTTCTACTCATTCTTTTTTCCATGTCTCACGATAGGTACCGGGTATGTAGTCAGGGGGCTTCGGCTCTCATGACAAAGAATAATAATAATAATAATAACAATTCTTTTTTCCATGATTACAGCAAGACAGTTTTTATTAAACACTAGCTGGCCCGACAGACATCGTCCTGTCCTAATGTGGTTTTATGTCAATACTCGTTGATTTTCAAGATGAGCTCGTTCGCATGGCTCAATCACGTCCGGTTAAAGTTTGTTTGCTATGCTTACTCACCTTTAGGTTGGAGCTCGTTCGCTGCGCTCTCTCGCCTTCAGGTTAGCTCGTTCTTTATGCTAACTCGCCTCCAGGTTGAAGTTCATTCGCTACGCTCACTCACCTTTTGGTTGCAAATTGGCTGTTATCATAAATTTAAAAGTGCTGCACCCTGTTGGTAAACATGTTAACTTTTTTATGCTATTGAACATCGCAGAATCAAATTGTTTGGTTGAACCAGCTGTTAAGATTCTTTAATTCCATTTAATTATGTTATGAGTACTCATAAGGTTAACATGGGAAACTCTAGAGCCACTAGGGCGGAGCCCTTTTAGCGGATCTGCACCAAACTTCACACAAACCATCCTTGAATAATGCTTAATAATGCCTGAAAGTTTCATTACAATCTGTCGAGCGGCTTCGGAGTCCATAAAGGACAAACAAACAAACATACATTGGATTGTGTATATATAGATGTATTTTACTGGGCAGTTTAGTTTGTATTTCTTCAAAGCGTATAAATCAGATTGTGTACAGAAACATGAATGTTCATGTGTATTCATTCTAACAAAATCTTGTTAAGTACGTTGTCTTTAGGATAACGTATTACACTAGACACCCCATGAACCAGTTGTATCCAGTTGTTATTGCAATAGATCCTAGATGAATGAGCCAAACGTATTACACTAGACACCCCATGAACCAGTTGTATCCAGTTGTTATTGCAATAGATCCTAGATGAATGAGCCACTCATAGAATACAGTCTGAAATTATATTTCTCTCTCTTATATTTGGTAACTCGCAAAAGTTTATTTGGTTTCATAAAACATGTCATAGCTGTAATTTTCCTTTCAGTATGGTTAGGTTGGAAAATTGGTGTATTCTTACTGAAATCGGTAATGTAGATCAGCTGTCTGGCCCAATTCAATGAAGTTCATGTTTTAACCAGCTGTAACTTTAACATAGGAATAGGATTTTTAGTGAGAACTGAAATGGAAATATTCTAAACTGACACAAAAAATGTAACTTTGCACTATATACAAAACAGTTAACCTGAGAATAGAATGTATAGTTCCACCACATGTACACAATTACAATATTTTAATGCCTTTAATATGACCAATACTATAGTCAATCGTGGTGTTTGTTTGGCAGGGATGGTTGGAGCACTAGCTGTCAGTAAGGATGGGACAAGCCAATCTCTACTCACAACTACTGAAAGTCTAGGATCTACAAGACAACGGATCACAGCAGTGGATATCTGCTATGGCAAGAGTATGTCTGTAAAAAAACATTTCTCTAAAAACAAAGTCAAAACCAAATTTTAAGCCAGAAAAATAGTGGCAGCTATTGTGTTTACGTGAAGATGACATTCCTCATCTGCTGCGCATCCTCAAAACAACATCTGGGGACAAAAATACACTATGAGGTCCTAGGCTAAGTTCCTCTCTAACTTCTAACTAAAGTCAATATTTCACATTTTCTTAGGTTATTCCTTGTAATCGCAAACAGCTCCAAAGTTTTGTAGTTAAGGCAATTACAATGGCAAACACAACAAAATAGAAACGAGGAAATCAATAATTTTACATGCAAACTATTTTAGGATGAAGTATTTAAAAACTTATTTAAATTTACAAGAATCACATTCTGCTATTGGAACAATGAGTCTAGCAGCTGTGTGGAGAGAAGTGTGTTTGTCTACAATTGTAGAGAAAACGACACATTCTTTTTTACAACCCCCTTTAATAGACGTAGTAGTAAGCTACGGTATATCATTAATATTTAGACAACTCAATTATATTTTTTTGCTACACCACCTGGTTTTCTCTCTGGTAAGCCTAAGTTATTAAACTTATAGCCCAGTCAATAAATGTTTTTTATCGCAACTAAATGGTGGAAAGCTGGATTTTTTATATGTGATAGAACCACATGAGAGGTGTATTTTCCCAAAAGTCCCCACTTCTACCCCTTGAGCTTTCCCCCCCACCCCCCTCCAAACATAGAAATTGCAGTGATTTACTTAATTGATCATAATTCAAATGTTATGTAAGTTATCGAGCTGCAATTTGTTTTGTTTTATTTCTGATTAGTTTTCCTACAACTTTTGTATTTACAACATTTTTCTAAAACCAATACTTAGGGAGATATAAAATTTAAACTTCGTTAAAAGCTTTGTTTCAGAGTGCAAAATCTTGTTTTTCTCTATGTATACTTTTAAATATAAATAATACGCAAATATGGTTCAAACAAAGGTTTTAGTACGTTTTTCAAGGTTTACAAATATATTATTGGTTAGTCATCTAGGTGACCGGGTGAAGAGCTGAGCGTCGGCAAAGTGAGCGCGTGCGCGCTAGTTGAACACCTTTGCGCTGCGTCATCGCATCTAGCCCAGCCAATAAACGCACCAACTGCCTTTTTTCGTCGCTAAATAGTGGAAAGCTGAGTTTGTTATATGTGATGGAACCACTTAAGACGTGTATTTTGCAAAAAGTTCCTGAATCTCCCCCCCCCCCACCCCATCCAACCCCCTCCAAACCTGGAAATATCAGTTGTTAACTTTACTGGATATAATTCAAATTCTACGCATGCCATGTAGTGAAATTTGGTTTAGTATTATTTATAATTAGTTTATCTACAACTCTTGAACTAAAGATTTTCTTATAAAACTATATCCAAAGAGATATAACGTTTAAAATTTTTTTTATAATGTTTATGTTTATGAGTAAACAATTTTATTTTACCCTCTATATATTTTTTCCAAATAAAATACGCAAAATGTTACAAACAAAAATTTTAGTATGTTTCTTAAGGTTTATAAATATATATTTGATTAGTCATCAGCATCCGCGCAGCCCCGCCCGTCGATACATAGCCTAATAAGGACCGGCACCGCTAAGTTCTCAACTGTTTTATATAAATCCTAAGACTTCCTAATTTGTAGCCTACATTACTACCAAAACAATCTGTTTCCAAGCTAAACCGTGACTAAATGAAGCACCTCACGGTCAGTAAAAATTTTTCGTCGACTCACTAATCCTTGATACAAACTGCGTCCTATCGCTGATATGTCCCTCTCTTCACGCTTCCTGTAGCAAATAAAATATGGCTGCTCTGCCATAAGTTGTAGCCTGTGTTAAAATAATATCATGAACAACGTAGAAAACTGTCGGTAGTATTTATAAGCCATTTTTAATCATGGTAAGGAACAGAAATTAAAACCAGTCAATGTTAAAACTAACTGTTTTATTAAGTCTATATAGAGGAGATTTTAAAACACTTAATAAGTGCCTTCATCTTTATTAGCGATGATAAACGTTTGCATATTGTCTACCAAAAACCAATAAAGAACTATTATGCTGACTATTTTTTTAGATAACATGAAAACAATAAAATATTAGAGAACAGAACCTCACCAAGATTCACAGTATAGAGTCTCTAAAAATGATTAATCTGGACCACGTATTAGTGCCGTAAAGCAGATTCGTAATACATTGCTGCCATTTTTTACGAAAAAAACCTCAATTTGATTGACACATCTACACAATATGTTAAGAAATTTGAATAATCTGTCTGTATGTATCTCGTAAATAGTCTTGCCTGCATGTATGGGGACACAAATAGTTTTTTACTTACTTATTTATAAATTTTGGATATATGCCTTATTACATTAATTAATAGGAAAGTAAATAAAAGAAAATACGTCTAATAGTCTAACACTTAAAACATAAATTTACACTTATAATGTTACTGACAATACTATAAATATACATAAAAGATGGTAAGTGGTCGTCGATTTTGATTCGACACTCCAATCATCCTCAGACCCATAGGTGAATTGGATCATCTCATCATTGGGTTCAGTATGTTTCTTACCCAGCTTTATGTAATGTAATATATGTATCCCAAATAAACAAATACACACATACATATGTTTATATGTATGTAATATATGTAATGTTATATATGTATGTATGTAATATATATATTATTGTCAATAGGTTTAGCCATTGGCAGAAATAATTAAATAAATTATTATTTTAAATGATAAACGAGTTAAAACCAACAATAAATTTAAGAAATGTACAAATGATTAGGTTTCATCTAATTAGTATTTTTTTCAGTTTACTATTTAGATCTTTACTGACCGCGAGGCGCAGTTAGTATAAATCTTGCGGGGAACAAAGCGAGTCCCATTGGTGGTAGATAATGGAAAGCACATTGTAACGTAAGGAAGAGCAAAGAGTATGTTTATAGTAATTTTTAAAGTGTTTATTAGGCCTAGTGTTCTATACCTCAATCTATCAAACTTTCGTTGGTCAAATATGAAGAAATCAAGTATTAAAAGTATTGCAAGTATAACAAGTAAGTAGGTAGAGATTAATTTACCTGAACCAAAACTGGTTATAAAAAAATTATTGGGTTCCATCTAAATAATAATTGTTTTTACTGTTAACGGTTAAGCTTGGATACAGATTGTTTTGGTAGTAAACTAAAAAGTACAAGGCCATAGCATTTGTATAAAACCTTTGAGAACTTAGCGATGTCGGTGCCTATGACGCGACGCATCAACGGGCGGTGCTGCGCTGCGCGGAAGATTGCACCCGGTGTCTTTGCGACAATGCCGACGCCCCACACTACATCAGTTTTTTTTCAGATGGCTAATCAAATATATATTTATAAACCTTAAGAAACATACTAAAGTTTTTGTTTGAAACATTTTGCGTATTTTATTTGGGAAAAAATATATAGAGGGTAAAACAAAATTGTGTACTCTTTAAACATAAACATTGTAAAAAAAATTTAAATGTTATATCTCTGTGGATATAGTTTTATAAGAAAAACTTTAGTACAACAGAGTGTAGATAAACTAATTATAAAAAATACAAACCAAATTTCACTACGATGGCATGCGTAGAATTTGAATTATATCCAGTACAGTGAGCGACTGTAATTTCCAGGTTTTGAGGGGGTTTTGGGGGGGGGGAGAGTCGGGAACTTTTAGAAAATACACGTCTTAAGTAGTTCCATCACATATAACAAACTCAGCTTTCCACTATTTAGCTACGAAAAAAGGCAGTTGGTGCGTTTATTGGCTGGGCTAGATGCGATGACGCAGCGCAGAGGTGTTCAACTAGCGCGCACGCGCTCACTTTACCGACGCTCAGCTCTTCACCCGGTCACCTAGATGACTAACCAATAATATGTTTATAAACCTTGAAAAACGTACTAAAACTTTTGTTTGAACCATAATTGCGTATTATTAATATTTAAAAGTATACATAGAGAAAAACAAGATTTTGCACTCTGAAACAAAGCTTTTAACGAAGTTTAAATTTTATATCTCCCTAAGTATTGGTTTTAGAAAAATGTTATAAATACAAAAGTTGTAGGAAAACTAATCAGAAATAAAACAAAATAAATTGCAGCTCGATAACTTACATAACATTCGAATTATGATCAATTAAGTAAATCACTGCAATTTCTCTGTTTGGAGGGGGGGTGGGGGGGAAAGCTCAAGGGGTAGAAGTGGGGACTTTTGGGAAAATACACCTCTCATGTGGTTCTATCACATATAAAAAATCCAACTTTCCACCATTTAGTTGCGAAAAAGGCTGTTTTATTGCATTCATTGACTGGGCTATTAGTTAATGTAATTCTCTTATTGTTTTACCCAAACAGATGGCCAATATCTGGTAGCTGCAAGTAGCGGAAGTGTAAACATGCCAATACAGTGTTTCCGAGTGTCAGTTAAACGTGTCGAGGACAAACTCACCATCAACTCTCAGGCCCTTCCCAGCTTCTTCATGCTGGCCCACGCCTCCTCCGACAACATGTGTGAGTTATTCTAGTGTTAAAATTAAATTCCGCTCAACCTATAGTTGGTAACAACCAAACATATGGCAATAAATAAATACAAAAAACATAAAGCACACTTTTAAGCACTAGTGGGTTAGCAGTACGGTTATTGGCACCCCGAAATGCGACACGGGATATGGCCTTAAAGAGCCAAACAGAATTCCTACTCACTTAGCCTAATGATTTTTAAGTTTGAGATTTGCCAAGATAGTTGTGTTGTGCAGATCACACAGTGTCGCAGGTCAAGTTTGTGGTGAGAGAAGACGCAGACACTCTGGTAGTGGCGGCCAATGGAGACTCTGGAGCTCTTATTGAGATATGGGAACTGCAAGAGAAGCCACTGTCTATACACAAACTTTTCCAGCCTAAAGTTCAGCCTACAGAGCCTTTCAGAACTGTGGTAAGTGTTGGATGTGTCATGTGATATTGAAAACAAATTATTACTATTTACCGATTGCTAGTAGAGGTGTGCGAACAGTTCGGTTATCCAGCTTGTAATGAAGATTGTAGAATTCTTCTGCAAAATTCAAATTCTCACATGATCAAAAAATTCAATCTTTCACCCCGATTGCGGACATCAGCGATAAAGTTAAATTCAATCTTTCACCCCGATTGCGTACAACAGCGATAAAGTTTCCGTCACTGCGGGAGTGATCAGTATTTTGCCACAACCACTGAGACGATGATGGTGTTTACATGACCGCAGGAGGTGTTCAGGATTTTGCCGTGCTTGCGGAAGACAATGATGTGTTCTCCATGAAGCATTTTTTTTATTTTTATTGTGGAAGAAGATTATGTTTACATGGCCTCGGGGAATAAACAAGATTTTTCTGGAAGACGGTGATGATGTCCACATGGATATGACTATGGCCATATTATGATGACATTGTGTCATTATGATAAATGCACTTTACACAACATTTATGATTTACTAAATTTCATACTGCTTGAATAAATACATCCTAACATTATATTGCATTTTGAAAAGAAGATTTGTAATAAATTAATTTTTATTTGGCAACACATAAAATCTTTTGTATAAAGAAGCTCGAGCTTTTGGCTCAGCTTGATAAAAAATGTAAGGCACCTCTACTTGAAACCTAAAATATTATTCCGTAAGACTTACAATTACAATTACAATCAATCAGATGTTTTTATGCAGGTGTGGCAACATCAGAGCCAGTTCACACTGACCACTACGATCTCGTGTATGACTACTCTCAAGATGGCTCTGATGAACACAGTACCTCCACCTCTCTATGTCATCGTTGTGTTGTCAGACAGCTCCATTCATTGTCTATCCAGGGACTCGCTTAAACAGGTTCTTCCACTTATTTCCTAGATTACTGATTTATTTAAGCAAATTTGGGCTGATTTCAAAACAATTTTGTTGAATGTTAATTTCTGGAGTCTTCAAATAATTTTTTTAACGGTAATTTTTCATTTGCAAGATGATGGGGCGCAAGTGCATAGGCTTATCATATGTACTAACATCCCTTTGGCCTGCATGCGTCAAATTTAGTAAGAGAATTTGTGTCAGAGCAGGTGTAATCTTGATATATTAGCCTACTACTATGGATGAAAAAATCCTTTTTTGGAGAAACTAGTTTTGACCTGAAAATTTTTATTTTTGACCCTGGAAACCTGGAATTGTCCTTGAATTTTATTTTACTTTCATGGTATGCTTGACACCCTGATTCAATAAATAGTGACTCTGCCTATGTCACACATTCCGGGTTTGCAACACTGTACAATGTTCAGGTAGGGACAGCATACATGGCGGTGGGTTGGAGAGACGATGTGAAGCATCAGAAGCTGACTATTGACATCGCCTCTATAGACCTGACTTGGCTGGGAGGTGCTCTGGTCATGGCAGATACACAGGGACAGTTGTATATGTACAGGCTGCATCCCATTGGAGAAGCAGGTACAACTACATTTCTTCTGGACATTTTCATTCATGCTTAAGCTACTCATCAAGTTTGAACAGTAAAAAACAATAGCTAAACAAACAATATGTAGATAATGTTTTAACTCAAAGATACTGCAAACCTCTTAAGAAACAATTAAGTAAAATACATTTTGTACCATTTAGTAATAGAAACAGTGTCAAAAGTTTACACAATTACTTTTATATTTACTTACAAATGTGTTAACATTAAAGGTCAGGGAGTCAGCGCCATCTACGCAGCTACATTGCTGGAGTACTGTCTGGTCACTGGGCTGGATTGGTGGGACGTTCTTGTTGCTCTCAGGCCTACAATGGTAAGATTTGTATCATTCACGATTACCACATGGCAATTCTTACAAAAATATTTCTCTGAGAAGCTATTCAATGTAATATGCTATGAATATTTTACTGCAACTTTCTAAAGAGGGTATAAAATACAAGTCATCATCGTATTCCGCGAGTTTGGTAAAATCCCGAATATCTCCTGCAATAACGGAAACATCATTGTCTCATGTGATCGCAGTTAAATCCTTAGCATGTCATAGTCATAGTCAAATTTGTCGTACAATACTTTTGTCCCCAACGATTGCGGCAAATTATAATAAAGCATCTCCCACAGTCATTTAGTCATTATATTCGTCTCCTGTGTTCAATGAAACTTAATTGTTGCCATATGTAATAGTGGCAAAAATGTGAATTTTTCACGCGATCTGCGATCTTTGCAGACACATTTTGCAATCATACGTTAGATCGTAAAAGCTTGGTTCAAGCTCGTTTTTCTAAAATGGTGTCCGATCTCTCGAGCTGATAGACTCAACTCGACTCGTCAATCGAGCCGCTAGTACACCTCTGCTGTACAGCAATTAATCACATAAGAGACAAAACAGTGCTAGTGATAGTTACATCGTCTTGTGGTCCAGGTAGATGCAGTGTGTGATCGGGTGACTGAAGGATTCTCTAGGCAGCCCTCCACCACTCAGCAGTACCACTACGTGAGTCACCTCAGTTTACGAGCAGCATTGTATCGTCTCAGCCCCTCAGGACAATCACGAGCTGCCGACCTCACTGCTCTACTCATGCTGCACTCTGTGTCCACTGCGTTCAAAACACTTCTGCGGCCGTCCGACCTCTCCAGCCACGACAAGGGACCTGCTGACAGCCTACAGGGTTAGTTAATAGTGAATATTACTGTTTGTGTTCCATCCTATATTGTATTTTCGGTTAAGGATTTAGACATTCATTGCAACTATTCGTTGGCTTCACTGCACTTAAAAAAGAGCGCTACAGTTTCTTACCACCACAAGCACTAAGAGGTATATAGGGCTGTTAGTAATTCTCCGGTGAATATCGCATAGCATTAAAATGCAGAGCCAAATATTTGCAAACGATATGTGGCTACACTAAAAAAAAAGTTGCCCTTACTTATTCCATAACCTTAATGGTTTCTAGCTGTAATTCCAGGAAAGTTTTCTACACAACAATCTGAGTGGTCAAGTAGGAAATGTTGTTGTTGCAGCTGTAATGAGTGAAGCAGTGACAGACATAGATGCCGTGTTGTTACACCTGGAGGCGAAGGAGTTCACTGTTGAGCCGAGCACACTACAGTCTCTACATCAGCTGATACAGTGGGTGGCGGACCTTGCGCTCAACTTGCTGGCTAGGCTGCCGGAGCAGAGGAAAGCTATGGGGGTGAGTGAACACAACCTTCAGCCGCAACTTAGATTAGATTGATACAACCCCATCAGACCTTGATGCAAAAATCAAAATGAAGATGAGTGAAGTACAGTAGAACCTCGATTATCCAGGGTAATGGGAGGAAGGGAGACCACGGATAGTTGAAAACCAAGGTTAATCCAATATGACATGGGTAATACAGTGGAACCTGGATAATTCGAACTTCTTTAATTCGAAATCTTCTTTAATTCGAATTTTTCCCGTGGTCCCTAGCATTTTGTATTAAAACAATGCTAAAATAACGTGGATAATTCGAATTTTATTTTGGATAATTCGAATTTTTAAGTGCCAAATCATTAAATTATTACTCTAAATATATTCAAAAATAATAAATAAAAAACATATTCCAAGCCACATTTGACGAAATGTTTGCGTTAGAACAAGTGCCAGCCCTCGCGCGCCTGCGTTTAGTCTGATGACTCATACCTCCCCTCCCGCCACCGCCCTACAGGTCATTGTACCCTACACTCCCTTCCCCTTTCTCCTCTCCCACCCACCACCACTGACCTCTTTTCAGTGTCGCATTGTGCGTGGTCTGTATCGGTTTGCGTGAAGGCCGTTACCTAACGTACAGTAGTTTTGCTGTTGTCTTAGACTTTTAGTTTCAAGTGATTACGTGTACAGTACTGTAGTTTTAACGTACCGTACTGCACTACTGTATACATTAACTTTTAGTGAGTGTAACTGTGTAGTGATCATGGCATCAACCTCATCGAAAAAACCAGGGTCTTATAAAACTTTGACATTAGCTGAAAAAGTCGCTGTGATCAAAGAAGTGGAAAAAGGAGTCAAGAAAAAATCTGAAATCGCGAAAGACTTTGGAATTCCACCCAACACCTTATCAACTTACTTAAAAAATAAACATAAAATTCTCAGCAGTGCAGAGGAATTTGATAAAGACAGGAAACGATCGCGAGAGCCAGGAAATCCGGATGTCGACAATTGTGTGCTTAAATGGTTCAAGCAGACCAGAGACAAGAAAGTTCCTGTGAGCGGTCCTTTGATTAGAATCAAGGCTGAGCAATTTGCTAAAGAATTAGGGAAGCAAAACTTTAAAGCTAGCACTGGGTGGCTGGATGGTTTTAAGGAGCGCAATAAAATTTTGTTTAAGGCAGTGTGTGGTGAAAGTGGGGCGGTGAACCTGCAGGAAGCTAATCAGTGGAAGAACGATCTGGAAGAGATGATCCAGGACAGAGACCCGAGAAATATTTTTAACGTTGACGAAACCGGTCTTTTTTTCAAATGCACGCCCGATAAAACACTTGCATTTAAGGACGAAAAGTGCCACGGGGGGAAATTAAGCAAGGAGAGAATCACGCTATTGGTTGGTGCTAATATGGATGGTTCGCAAAAGCTGCCTTTGTTGATGATTGGAAAATCGGCCAATCCTCGTTGCTTTAAAAATGTCAAGTCTAAGCCAGTAGAATATGTAAGCAGTTCTAAGGCTTGGATGACAAGTGACCTTTTTGCGAAGTGGCTAATGAAGTTGGACAAACGGTTTGTTAAAGAAAATCGACAGGTTCTCCTTTTCATTGACAATTGCACGGCACACAACACCATACCTGTCATGGAAAATGTCAAAGTGGTTTTTTTCCCAGCCAACATGACCTCTGTTGTCCAGCCCATGGATCAAGGGATCATAAAAAACTTGAAACACTTTTACAGGGGTTTATTGGTCGAGAATATCCTGTCCGGGGAAGGAAACGCCCTCAAAATAAAGCTGGACATTTTAGAAGCATCGCGAATGTGCAAACAAGCGTGGGACAAAGTGAAGCCGGAAACAATAAAAAACTGCTTCAAAAAGGCAGGTTTTGTTAAAACCGACGAAGAAAGCGCCGAAGAAACTGTAACGGACGAAACTCTACCAATCGACGGCTGGGAGGATGTGGCACCCAATCAAACCATCTTGTACGAGGACTTTCTTAATGTAGACGAAAATGTCGCTGTGTGCGGTGAATTAACTGACGCCGACATCGTAGCAGAAGTCCTCGACACCGAGGAACAAAATGACGATGGATCGGGGGACGAGATCGTCGGGTCACCGGCCGATGAAGAAGAAACGCCAGTACCGAATGCAGCCGACGCCATGACCTACCTGAGAGAAATTCGGCGATTTGTGGAGAGCAGAAATGATGTCGGTGATGTACAGTTTAAATCATTAGATGTTTTAGAATCATTTATCATGGCCGAGAGATTAAACTCAAAGAAACAAGCCAAAATCTCTTCTTTTTTTGTAAAACAATAAATTAGATTTGATATGTTTTTTGTTTAACAATCAGTCAATACGGTCTCCAAACTTTTAGTTCTCTTTGGCCGATATTTTTCTATTTCTGTCCTGTTGTCCTGTATAGGGCCTATTTTGCTTAATATTTTGCTTTGGACTATTGGTAATCGTGTGAAGTTTGCGTGCAGTTCAGCTATTGCTGAGGACATTTTAAGGTTAGTTAATTTTAGTTTTGTACATAATTTCGTTGTCGTTTGAGCGATTGCAAGTTATTTTTATTGTATACTATTACTGTAATAGGCATTATTCAATAAATTAATGTTCAAATAGTATCAATAAAGTTAATAGTTTGAATTTAAAACGTGTTTGTATTGTTTACGGCCCTGGTTATAAGAACTTATTTAATTCGAATTTTTGGATAATTCGAAGTTTTTAGCTGGTCCCTTGAGGTTCGAATTATCCAAGTTCCACTGTAGTAGTTTTCATCACTAGGAGCAAAAGTGGTTCTTTTTGGTACGCAATCGTGTTTAACAAATGAAGCGATGCCAAGTTTGGCAATATGATTAAGTACCAAAAGGACACTTTCGCTCCGTGTGATATACAACTATTTTCTTCATACTGTGAAAATAACCTTAAACCGTTACAAAATTAGACCACATATTTGAGGTTATACAAATTCTTCATCAATATTTTTATGTCTGTTGTTTACAAACAAAACTTAAAATATTATAGTGTGATTAGTAGCGTTTCTATAATGTAATACATAATAAATTGGTTTACCTTATGGTTGCCAGATTCTTGAAAATTGTGGATTCTAAATCCATAATTTTCAAGAATCTGGCATCCATAAGTTTCCACTGTTTCTGGACGGAATAATGTTGGATTAAAACATTAGATAGATCATCTAAAAAGTATATAATCAAATTATAGTACCCATTTAATAATAACACTGGTAAAAATAAGATAACAGTGGCATGAAAACATTGTTTATTCTTTCTTGGGGCGTTCTCTTCATCCGCACATTCAACAAGTGGCCATGGTTACTAATCAACCTCATGGACAACTTCAGAGTTGTCATGGTTACCCAATCACAAGCATTATGTCGTCTAGTGTTGTGTTGTGACTTAGCGCACAGCAGACAGATGTGTAAGAAGCATACTACTGTCAGAGTGTAAGCCTTGACCTTAAGGCTATTGAACGATATTTCTTAGTTACAGTATGCTTCCATATTATTTTTTTTTTATGAACTGTGATGTTTAAAAAATAATGATATGGGTGCCTACTGCTTATAAATAAAGGGCAGAAATAGTTGAATATACTATGCATTTCAACACATTATACTGAACTTAAAGAAAACAAATTTATAACATTTACTTGATATTTTACTTGGATAAGGACTAAGGAGAGGCTATGTAACATAATTTTTGGGCATCTATTGACCACAGTTGATCTGCCCCCAGTTAATCGAGGTTCTACTGTATTAGTGTTGAGTGGATACTATGATTACATTGTTACTGATTAAGATCAGGAGGTTATTTGGCAAGGACCATTTATTTTAACCCGATAAACTAGAAACTATGCTAACCGATCCTAATTTTTCCTGTTTCCAACCATCAATAAATGTACTACCGGTACTGTATGTCAAGGATTGTTTGATATGGTATGTTTCAGCCATTATTTTACATCCCCACTCAATCCCAGGGCTATAACAGCTTACAATTTCTTGTATAACCAATGTTACAGTATGAGCTTGTGAGGGATGGTAAGGCAGTGAACAGCATCAGAGAGTTGCTGATCATCATCAGGTTCTGGGGTTTGCTGCGTCACAGCTGTCTGCCAGTGTTCATCAGCAGTGCAGAGAACGTAGACGTGCTAGGACTACTGTTCAAACTGCTTTCCCGTCTTGTACAGAACACAGAACCAGACGACGCTCTAATTGGTCAGTATCGTTAGATTTCAATCCTTAAAAATACAAGCCATATTTTTAGTTAGTAACCACAGGTCTTGAGTTTTTTCTTGTTTAGGTATGGATTTTATTCTTAGAAGTAGGATTAAGTAGAAATCACCCTTGGGCTAGTTGCCTGTTGGGGTACAGTCCATTTGGTCATTTAGGAGCCATTCCGAAAACATCTTCTAACACCTGACTGACTATACAGCATACACGACTGTATCTACAAACATCTTCTAACACCTGACTGACTATACAGTATACACGACTGTATCTACAAACATCTTCTAACACCTGACTGACTATACAGTATACACGACTGTATCTACAAACATCTTCTAACACCTGACTGACTATACAGTATACACGACTGTATCTACAAACATCTTCTAACACCTGACTGACTATACAGCATACACGACTGTATCTACAAACATCTTCTAACACCTGACTGACTATACAGTATACACGACTGTATCTACAAACATCTTCTAACACCTGACTGACTATACAGCATACACGACTGTATCTACAAACATCTTCTAACACCTGACTGACTATACAGTATACACGACTGTATCTACAAACATCTTCTAACACCTGACTGACTATACAGTATACACGACTGTATCTACAAACATCTTCTAACACCTGACTGACTATACAGCATACACGACTGTATCTACAAACATCTTCTAACACCTGACTGACTATACAGTATACACGACTGTATCTACAAACATCTTCTAACACCTGACTGACTATACAGTATACACGACTGTATCTACAAACATCTTCTAACACCTGACTGACTATACAGCATACACGACTGTATCTACAAACATCTTCTAACACCTGACTGACTATACAGTATACACGACTGTGTCTACAAACATCTTCTAACACCTGACTGACTATACAGCATACACGACTGTATCTACAAACATCTTCTAACACCTGACTGACTATACAGTATACACGACTGTGTCTACAAACATCTTCTAACACCTGACTGACTATACAGTATACACGACTGTATCTACAAACATCTTCTAACACCTGACTGACTATACAGAATACACGACTGTGTATCGACTTGTGCATCGATGAACAACGGCCGGTCATTGTGCAAACGTGTCAAAAACAGTTTAATTCTGAGACACGTTATGTATTTTTATAAGATGCGATGCAATGAAGAATCATAAATTATTGAATGCAGCAATTTTCTCAGTATCAGTAGAACCATCAAATAATAACTAAATTATCTTTTTGTTGACCAATACAGGGCAAGATTAGACTTTTTAATTCAAACCCATCAGAGCCTCTACAACCCTAGCTCCTTCTAAACTTAGTTTACACTCAATCAAGCCAATGTTTCACTATTTTCACATATTTAACTACATTCTGTAACTTACAGTCTTACATTCTGTAACTTAATGTCATTCTAAATGTACCATTTCATCAATTTAGATTAGTTTGATTTTGATTTCCTTATTGCTCAGTTGAGAATTTAGTTAAACACACTCAACAACTCTGTTGCTTGCTTACGACTGTGATTCAAAATTGGAGTTTTTGAATATCCCTTGACAACTATTTGACTAAATGGAAATATATTAACTAGAACTGTAGTGTAAATGGTTTCAAAAACTTAAGCATTTACTAAAAACAGCTCATAGACACTACAAGATTTGTTTAAAACACTAAATCCTATAAAAATGAAAAATTGTTATTACCATATTATATTAGGTAAAATATTTCTTCACGGATAAATTTTCATACACACCTATTCCTTGTCATACTAAGTTATTTCCTTAAAATCGGCTTAAATATGCTTTTAACACGTCGATGTTCTGCTTGATGGTAACAAGTAATCGATTTTAAATATAAAAATCGGTTGTAATTTTCTTTAATCTTTAAATGATAATGTTTATATTTTGCTGTTAGTGATAAACAAAGCTTTGAATCTGAATACTTTTTGAAACCCACAGTTTATGTTAAACCAAGTTATAATCAGGAGATGCAAGATTGGGATGCAAGGATGTGGTCTGTGGTCTTCAATTTCCTGTGCAGAAAACAGTGGTTCATTTGACATGGCTCTATACATTGCCACAATGGAGTATGCTGGGATCGTATTGTTAGTCCTGGGTGTATTTTTCCTATACTGGTTCATTGGTTATCCGTTTTTCTTTGATTTTGTGAAGATTTGCATTGAACCTCTCTGTGGTAACGTGGGAACCGTTGTGGTGGTTAGTGTAGTGTTTGTGGTGTGGTTGCTGTTGATGGTTGTGTTATTGGTTTGTACTGAACAAAAGAGGAAGAGAAGATACTTAAGGCCAAGTAAAAATAGTCGTACTTCTCCAAACAATCATTTGAATTTTAATCCCACCGTGGAAAATATTGATGAAGTTAAGCCGAGAGTAAATAGGGAAAATGTGGAATTCGCTTCCATCCACAGGTCAGGAAATAGAAGAAGCCGATTCAGAACTTCATTGAAAGTGGATATCGGGATACCAGCTGGTGAAAGAGGGAATACAAATAACGCCCCATGTGATTCAAGTAAGCGCTTCACTTTTCATGGGTTTCCTGCTTCCAATACGGTTGACATAGAGATGCAAGACTTGTCTGTTAGACGTTATAATTCTCCCAAAACTCAATTCACATCGATATTTCCACAATCCTTAAGCGATCGCTTTTGGTCCTCAAACTCACTTTTAACTCCGAGAGAAGAGTTTTTCATTGATCTCATCAAAGCTGCCGAGTTAGAAGAGAAAAGACAAAGCATTTTGGGTCAGTCATCAGGTGATGTAAATGCTTTATCTAATGAAGCCACAACTTACGGAAGAATATCCGGACTGTCAAAAACTAGAATACCGAGTGTAGTTAAGGCTGTACGGAACGGAAACGGAAAGAGACTATCTGGTATAGATTCTAAGGAGACTCTAACTTCAATTGGTGAAATTACAGTTCACGAAGTTCCTCGAGTTGAGAAAACTAAGGACACTCTTGATTGTATAGAAAATGATGACGTGTTTATTGATATTCCTAGCACAGGGGCTAATGAGTTTTTTGTTGCAAGCGCTCCTATGTCCCAGACTTTTGTGTCAGAAGTTTTTTTGCTTTTTTCAAATAAATCTTAGGGTAATTACTTTATATCTTGTACTACTTTTTTTACTATGCTGTAACATACTGTTTGTTTTTTTATGTGAGTTTTTTTTTTAATTTGTCTTTTAAGGTTTTTAGTTGAAATACCTACAATAAAATGAAGATTTTTTCATCAAGCTGATGTAATGTTATTATTAATTTTAATGGTAGAGCTTGTGTGTGAACACTGAACAGAGCAAATAATACTTTAAACTCACTTAACTGTTTTTCCAATATTATAATGTATTGTAGACAATCTGTTTTTAGAGCATTTGCTTACTTTGTGTTGTCAACAATCTTTTCATAATCATGATAGTCCCCTACAGTCAATTTTTAGTATGGAAATCAAATCAAAAGGATCTTTATCTCATAAATAGTTGTCCATGATATAAAAAAAGTTTGGTAACAAAACAATAAAAAACTTGGTTGTATCGAGAAACACTTCTCTCATAGGCTATTAACTGTCCATGCTGAAGGAGTGGAGTTTCACTATCAGAAAATTTTAATTATGTTACACAAGTATGCAAAATAAATAAACTATAGTTACTATTCAAAATATAAAAAAAACTATTTACAAACAAGAAAAAGACTCATGGCAGTTATCACAAGCTGGGTTTGAGTGTGCAACTTAAACAGACCGACAATATGTATGGTATCAAAATAGAGAAAAATTTTTCATTGACTTCGCAGATCTTGACACTAGATGGACCATGGAGTAGAGAAATCTGTTGACATAGAATATTGTGAAAACAAACGGAGTGTTAGTGAAGAAACTATCTTTCACCTCACAATCCAACATTGAATACCAAGAAATAAATACATTTTGAAGTTTTGATGCATTTGGTCGTTGGGTAGTTCACAATCTCGGTTCACAAGGTATGTATAGTTTGTGGCATAAAATGTTAGGTACTATACCCAGGTAGTTGTTCAGGATAGTTTTTTTTATTCTTCAGAACTAGTTTTTAGAATGAACGCTTGGTTAAATTCCTTTTCCGTCAGGTCTGAAATGTCTTCCATTTATTGCTCATGGTGATTTAATGGTACATACTCGTACTTCAGATGTAAAGTTAGTATGTAGACGGCTTTATAGGCTTACCTCCGTCAGTAGTCCTAAATTGCGTCTAACTTAAAATAATGTTGTTCAAAGCTGAGATGTTTCGCTACAAATACAACATCGTCGGAGCTTTAAGTCAAAAACATCAAAATAATTTCCACATACAGTACAACATAAAATAATGGTATCTTGGTAATAGATAAGTGAGAATATCATATGAATTTTGTTTACGTTGTCTGGACAGTTAGCAATTAATTGCGAGTAAAATAACGCTAAAGATGTCTTCCTATTAACACCGAACATATTTAAGTAGTAATTACCTGTCTGAGGAATGTCTGGAGGCCAAACAAAAACAACTCATTGAAAATTATTCCTATGTCTGAGGAACTAGGCCTATTAGCAAAATAATAGGCAGTAAAAATAACCCAGAGTTAAAACAACATTATAATTTGTGATAATACCATTATAATTGGTGATGAAATTAATAGTACTGTTTCACCTATTACCGAAAAGCTAATTAACGTTCCTTACTATTAATGCAAAGCAACTGTATTTCCCGTCCCTAGTATGGTACCAAAGAGCAATATTTTGTAAGGGATTTATTGTTTGTAGATGACTGTATTCTACTGCCCAACCAAGTGATGATTCCTCCGCTCAACACAGCCACACCTATCATCGCCATCACCTCACCTGCACTCTTCTATCTGTCTCAACCACTCAAGGTACATAACACTTCAACCTTCTGTAAAAATCCTTGTAAAACAGAAACTACTCTATAAGCAAATGAACCACCTGATACAGCAAACGCGCAGACTAAGCAAATTTCTATTTGCTTGATTGGATTCTTCTTACTAAAATATTTATTAAAAATTCTAGATTTATTCCCCATTTTAAAAACATTAGATTTGATGAGTACTTAGGTTTGCTACTACAGGGAAGGTAGTAAAGCTGGTTTTTAATGAAACTAAAAGGTTTAATAGCGTAAAAGTTGCCAAGTTTCTTTATGAAAATAACATGGACATTTTTTAATTAGTTTTTCAGAGTTTTGCTGTCACCATTGAGCGTATAACAATGCTTCAATATAATTAATTGTTTCTATTCTCAAACTCATCAAAATGGATTGGGCAAAATTGCAAAACTATGTTTTGTGGGTCAAAAATGGAAACAAATCATTTCATTTCACCCCATAGTATCATTATGCTGGTTTGCGAACTTGTTCTATAGTGATAAAACTTGAACTTAATTACTTTTCTTCAGCTAACTGATAATAATAATGATGATTACTTTAATGTTAAATGTGATTGTATGTATATTTCCCAGTTGGAGTTTGGTGTAGAGCCTGATTGCCTGCTGTACGTGCCAGACCTGAGCCCTGTGGAAGGAGCCATGGCTACAGACCAGATAGTGGACACAATCCGACACATCTACCTGGGACATCAGCCACTGGTCGTTAAACAGTGCTGTCGGTGAGTAACCTATGATTTTGAAAACTCTTGAGAAGATAAATCTGTTGATCAAGCTGCCCAAGGTATGTCCTTAGAATCTTCAGATCAAATGATATCCACCCAAAACTCAAACTCAAAAAAGTTGACGAAAACAATACATTTCCATAATACACTATAAATAGGGGTAAAAAATTAAACATACACAATATAAGTTGACTGGATTCATTTATGTACCCAGTTAAATTTTTAAGGCACCTTGAGTATTTTACCAAGACATCCCATCTATATGGATCAGCTGTCGCCAATTTTTTACTAAAAAAGAACGTAGTTGTGTGAGACAGTCACAGATTGCGCTAGTGTCTAAAACTCTATTTTGTACCTTATTTTTTGTTACTGACATAGTTGCTGGGTCACAACAGTTGCTATAGCTCATAATAAGTCATTCCATCAGTTTGACTTGGCAAAAACCATTGTGTAATCAGCAGAAATCAGTAATTTAGATCAGCGCAAACTGTAGGTGGCTCACATGGGGCGATGTCTACTTGTACCGGCGTCTAGTTGTACCTGCTGCATTTTGGTGACAGGCGTCTAGTTGTACCCCGTCCAAAGCTGTAGAGACAACTTGACGATGGTGCGGACGTCTAGTTGTACCTACGTCTAGTTGTCTCTACGTCTAGTTGTACCTCTTAAAAATCTACAGGTACAACTAGTCGGGAACGTCACCGTCTACTTGTACCTCATACGTCTGCGTCTACTTGTACCTACGACTACTTGTACCTACGACTACTTGTACCTACGACTAGTTGTACCTACGCCTACTTGTACCTACGTCTAGTTGTACCTGCGGCTAGTTGTATCTCCCCTTCAACTTGTCACCAGTTTAAGGGATTTATTTTATTTCTTTAAAAATCATACAATCTTACAACAATTTATTATAAACAATTTGCTACAAAAGCCAGGAAAATTTGGCTTGTCTGCAGCTCATTGAGAAACTCAATGCAAATACTTTAAGGTTATGTGAAAAATATTTAAAGGAATCAGCAAAAATAGTAATACATAATTGCTGGGCAGCGGTCTATTGTAATTCATTAGGGATATACTGCTTGTATACAGGGTGTTGAAAATGTCTGGAACCAACATTATATCTAGTGAGTGGTTAAAGAAAAACAAATGATAATTTGTGTACGGATATACTATGGTTTTACCTATCTTTTGGTGCCTTATGGAATTTTTACCACTTATAGGGAACGTCCTGTGGAGGATGCAGTAAAAAGTTTTAATGGAAGCCTATGGTAAATGATACATCATTTTAAAGGCAATTTTTTTCTAAGTAAAGAGCCACAAGTTTCATCTCAAAAGGACTACCCTAGCAAAAATGGCGACTGTTTGAAATTTAAAAACCCACTTAAAGGGAACGTCCTGTGGAGGAAGCAGTAAAATGTTTTACTGTAAGCCTATGGTAAATGATACATAATTTTAAAGGCCATTTTTTTCTGAGTAAGGAGCCACAAGTTTCATCTCAAAAGGACCATCCTAGCGAAAATGGCGTTTTACTAAACTTATTTTTAACAGAAATACCAATTAGCTTTAAATTATTTTCACAAACTTCAAACAGTCACCATTTTTGCTAGGGTGGTCCTTTTGAGATGAAACTTGTGGCTCCTTACTCAGAAAAAAAATAGCCTTTAAAATGATGTATCATTTACCTTAGGCTTCCATTAAAGCTTTTTACTGCATCCTCCACAGGACGTTCCCTATAAGTTGTAAAAAATGTCATAAGGCACCAAAAGATAGGTAAAACCATAGTATATCCGTACACAAAATATCAGTTGTTTTTCTTTAACCACTCACCAGATATAATGTTGGTTCCAGACATTTTCAACACCCTGTATTTAATGATATATATTAATGTTTTAATTAAATAAGCGATTTTCGGTACTAGGGCTGGAAAATTTTAATCACAACTATAGCTGCCATTTCGACCCTGGACAGCAATGCGTAGCTTTCAGCCTCCAATTAACGTCTGTAAAACTACTAAAACATCGTATTGCGGTGAAAAATATTTGCCAATCATACACAATCGACTCGGAACACTGCAGTTCCTGATTTAATTAAGGGTATTATTAAAAAGTACTCGTGCAGTAATCAATTAAACAGGGTAACGAATTGAAGGATAGATACAACTAGACTATAAGGACGCAAAATACGCGTAGGTACAACTAGACGTAGGGACTACTAGACGGAGGGACCACTAGTCGTAGGGACTACTAGTCGTAGGGACTACTAGTCGTAGGGACTACTAGTCGTAGGGACAACTGGTCGCATCCGTACAAGCTAGGTGATACTACTTGTCGGTGGGATACACGTCTAGTTGTACCTACGTCTACTTGTACCTACGTCTAGTTGTACCTCCTAAAAATCTGCAGGTACAACTAGTCGGGTGAGCCACCGTCTACTTGTACCTACGTCTAGTTGTACCTACGACTAGTTGTCCCTAGACCTCGAGGTACAAGTAGACGGAGGGACAACGAGACGGAGGGACAACGAGACGCGGTCCCGCTCACATCAACTAAGACAAATTTGATAAAAAACCTGGCTACAACTTTAACATGGTGGATGGAATGTCTAGTTTACTAAAGACTGTTAGATAGCTTTTATAATTGCATGGTGCTGATTTTCATCCACATAAGCCCAATTTAAACTTTAAGGTTTTTATTTGCGCTATGTGACTTGTTCTTTTGCAGTGGCTTTTTTGGTCATAAAATCTTCTGATCCAAACATACAGGAAAATCTTTTTGTTGTATTTTGAGATCAATTATGCAGCAGAAAAAAATTTCTTACATTTGTATTGCTTCACAACTGCATGAGCCCAATGTTAACTTTTCAAGTTTTTTGCAAAACAAGTTGTTCTATGGCCGTGGCTTTTTTTGTCCCAAAAAGTCTCTGGTCCAAAACAACCAGAAAACCTGGTTTGCTGTATTTTGAGGTAAATTGTGTATTTGCAGGTGTGGAGGTAAGGCCCAGGTCCAGAGTTGTCCCAGGACAGCTGCCATCAGAGCGTGGGATCTGCGCTGGGCGAGGAGCTGTAGATGTGGAGGCCATTGGCGGATACACAAGTGTTCATGAACCTAACCACCATATTTGTTGACTTGAATCAAATCCCTCAAAATGTATTGGATTTTGGTTTATCAATTTGTGGCTTGGCAGATTTACTGTCCACCTATCCTACCATTCAAAGGAATCTCTACTCACTGCTCACGGCAAGGAAAGGTCGGATTATATTTTTTTCTACTCTAGACTATAGAATAGATTTTACAAAACAAGTTGAATACACTTACGATTTCAAGTTTTTCCTTAGTGCTGTATTAGGAGAAAAAAACAATTAAAAGCTATTTTACCGAACCTTAACAGAAATTGCCGCCAGCACACAGTTCCTGGAATATGTTTCAGCCTGTGACAAATTGGATAAACCATCAACATTCCTTTTCAAGTGAATGAACGGCCAAAGATCATTTTAACTCTATGACTTGTATTTCTCATGCTCCAAATCGTAAACATCATTGTAAATATGTGTTTGTATATTTTTATTTTGTAAAAAAATAAATCCATTCAATATTTTGAAAGGTTTATTTAGTTTACCACCATTGTGATTTTTTGGGGGAACGAGCTGGTGTAGTGGTTATAGCGCGGAACTTCAGTCCCCGAGGTCCCGGGTTCAAATCCCGCCAAGTCACGAATGGATTTTATCTAAGTGATAATGCCGCAACCCCTAGGTCTAGCCTAAAGTAATGTGAAAAACAATCTCGGGCACGTGCCTAGCGTCCTAGGAAAAAAAATTGATTTTTCATTAATCATCGAGTGATATTACTGTATTACAAGAAACTACTATTTGATGAGAAATATTCTAAATCACTACAACTGTACTATTTTATAAGGTAGCTTTTTTAACAAAATTCTATACAGAAAGTATTTCTTTATTTCAAAAATTAATCATAACAATATAAGATTAAATAAATATTTAATTTTATTGCTACATTACTTTATATGGGTATAATCAAGGCCACACTAAAAAAAACAGGCCGTAATGCTCGTCAAGCGTGACGTCACAATAGAAGGCGGCAATGACGTATTTATTTATTTTCCAAGCAAAGATTAAAACAAGCAGCTGATCAAAAACGGCAAACATTACGTCATTGCCGTCTTCTATCGTGACGTCATGCTTGAGGAGCATTACGGCGTGTTTTTTAGTGTGACCTTGGTATAATACAAAATGTTGTAGGTACAGTATAATGGTTTAGTAGTTAATTAATTAATGATTATGATGGTTTTAGAATTACTGTAAATTTTTTCCTATTAATTCATTTTTGAGTTGTTATATTTTAAAACTAGCCTCATAAGTACATATTTTTTACTTGATATAAAAAGATGTAGACATCTTTGTATTAAAATGCAAGACAGGGACTTAGCTTATTCAGTAAAATATAAATTATGTTTTCTTGCAGGCTATGAATAGGTAGCCTTAACAAATTATGTTTCCTCAAGACAGAGTCCTGAAAATCTGTTGTTGTCGTCAATAAACATTTCACTGCTTTCTTCCTCTTCTGGTCGTCTTTCGTGAGATTGTTCTAATTTTAGTCTTTTGTTGTCTTTCTTCTTTTTCCTACGACTTTTAGTGGGATTTTCAATAAGAGCAACACTGTTCAAGTATTTTTGTAGATAACAAACTAAACTCTTGTACAGTTTAAGTAGAGAGGGAGAAGTTCTGAGTAGTGTCTCTACATACAACCCAATGTTGTTGCGTTTGGAAAAATTTTGGAAGACATTGTAGACAAAAGTCCCAGAAAAAAGTTTTGATACAAAACAATCTTTCAAAGGATATCCCAGTATAGAATTTAAAATCATCAGGTGAAGCAAACTACTTTGAAATTGAGCGAAGGCATGAACTGTTGATAAACAAAACAGTTTTGGTTTCATTTTAACTTGTTCACTAACATGATGATAAGGCAGAATAGTTTCAATTATTAAAACACAGTCTTCGCTAGAAACGCTCTTCAACTGATTGCTAAGATCTGAACTTTCAATCTCGTTTTCTATTTTACTCTCCTCATTACTATCTTTCAATTTTGGTTTCTCTCTACTTCTCGCTTCAACAACTTTATTCAAAAAGTTTCTGTACTTGCGCATGAACGTCTGCCTATTTCTATACACTCCGATGGAACTATCTACCGTATAAATTCCTACCAAACACATGACCATGGTATGCAAGTAAGCTTCCGATGGTGCAGGCTGTTTCATGTTTTTTAACCAAAACACAAGGGCAATAAGAAACAAATGCCAATCTTCAGGTACTGAGGTTAAATCTAAATCAGCTTCTGCAACTTCCAAGATCAACGCTTTGCGAATGTCCTGACTTATATCAGGGATTCTTTCACACTGAGGAAACTGTGAAGTGGGAGTTGCAGTAATAGGCTCCACGTTGTATGAACACAACTGAGAACCATTTCTTGTCCAATACTTGACTAGATTTCCATTTTCTCCTTGTAACAGCCCTACAATCGCATTCAGAAGTTTCAAGCTGATGAGGTGAGAAGGAGGAAGAGTAAAGTCCTCAACTTGAGGTAGGAAAAAATATTGCTGCAGAGTCAAAATATCAAAAACACAAGACTGGATTTTCCCTTTTCTTGCAAAATCGAGTAACCAATATGGAACATTGGTACTGTTGCCATTGCAAATTGTTACTGAGCTACAGACTTCATTTACACTGTCGTTTTCGATAAGGTTGGCTGCGTTGTAATCACCTTCGGGACTATCGTCTGCATCAGATTCTTCACAGGAATCTTCTTCGCTTGACGAGGATACATCATTATTGTCCACATCAGCCAGAGTTTCTTCCTCTATGGAGTCCACATTTATTCGCTCTATAATGTTGACCATTGACGAATCAACTTTACTGAGACTTGAGTCTGGCAACACACTGAAACTTTCTGTGCTCTTTGTGTCAAGTTCTAGTCCCAGATATTCGCTTAATATGCTCTCACACTGAACATAACCCTGGACGATTCTCTTTAGTTGCCTTTTGACAAATCTTCTGTGGTTTTTCCTCATACGGCACAGTATCTGTAAAGAATTGATTTTTAATTTTTATTAATATAACCACAGTTTTCAGAAACGTCACTTTAAATATAGCCTAATTCTGAATGTATCTTTGTCTATATTAGCAGATAGTTTAAAAAGTAGACAGAGATAGAGAATGTTTATTATGCTTAATAATGTTAAAGTTGAGATTATCTTAAGAAAAAATGCATTCCAGGTTGTCACAGACAATCTGCAATCCATTGAATTGTGCATTTTATTTAACAAAATGTTCTTTGATCAAAGTTCAATCGAGAGGATACAAAATGTATCTTCTGACAGTCCTAACCCAGGATGTTTTGACAAATTAATGATAATTTTCAGGAATATTTTTTTATTGAATTGTTATTTGGTAAAACTATGCAAGTTTTTAAAATTGTGATCCCAAAGTACTTCTAAAAAGATATAGTGTATAGCACGGCTCAAACACATGGAGTGGAGCGAGACATTCTAGGATTTATGAGGTAGGCTACCTATTTGGCATTGATGATTCTGTTTGTTTACTTCAGCCAGAAGAGTTATAGAGTTGTGGTCAAGCTATTTGTGGAACCAATGGTTTGGTCCATGTCCTAAGCCATTGGCTGCTCCCACTCCCTGCAGCGGCTGGCCATCCGCAACCACAGCAAAGGTAAGGTGTTAAAGAAAATTACTTGTTAGGGGCTCCTAGTCCCATTTAATTTGAAATCAGTCCAGCAGCAGTAACAAATGGCCGACCACCACACTAATGGACAACACCCAGCTCAGGACACAGGCTTAACATTTGATCTGATACCACTGTCCAGAACTATAGTCATGACTCAAGGTAATCGTCAAGTGGATATCCTACGTAAAAACTTATAAGCTAATATCTGGGCTGCCCAGAAAGACAGTCAGGCAAAATGATATAGATAAAAACCATTTAGGTAATAAAATGTTTTCAGTTTGTATTTTTCTTTACCTTGTGTACGGCAGTTTCGAATGTTTCATGTCTCAGCCATTCAATCACCGCTTTAATCCTTCTTTGAAGATGGTTTGTTTTGCCCTTGGGAATTTTCAGGTTGGTATAGAACTTTTTGAAAACCGAACGCTTGATGTAATCATTTCCAAGAAGGGCAGCTAAAAGAGGCAGCATATTTCTATCAAGCCCACCAAAACTTTCAATAAACACATCAACGCTATATATTTTGCATTCTAGGTAATATTTTGGTCCAACATCTTGACAGTCACTTTTGTTGAATTCTACAGGAATAAGATTGAGTGAGGGTAGAGGAATGTAGAGGATATCATAAATGTAGAAGTCAGAATCGTAACTCATGACAGGACATTTCAGTTGTCTGGCCAAAGCAGCTAATTCATCGTCCGCTTCAAAATCACTTTGTGCAAATGGGATATTCAATTCAACCATTACTTCTCTGAAAACAATTCTCATGAACAGAGGGAAGTTCAAGGAACCAGTAAATGGTTGTGCTTGGCATGCTGTTCTAAACTTTTCTCTTAATCGAGAGTATACAGTCTTTAATTTTCTTTGTTCATAACCTCCGTCAAACAACACAAAAGGTTTTATTTTGCACTTCTGTAGAAGTTTAAAGAACTCTTTGACATATTTAGCAAACTTGTCGTAGTCTCCACCAAAGGCAGACTCAATGCTGCTCCAAATGAATAAATTAGCAGCAATGCTATTTCCATCCAACAAAATAGTGCAATTGTGTAGCTTGTGGAGTTTTAAAAACTTCTTTTCATTGGTTTTAATGTATGTTGTAAGTCCTCTGACACCCATAGCTGAAACAAATAAGGACAGTTTATAAAATTGCATTCTCATCATAATTCTGCCCGTACTTTACAATGGGGCAATATTAATGAGATCTATATTTTTGTTATAAGAACAGGGGTGCCCAGAGGGGGGGTACTGTGGCGCGTTTGCGCCACAGGAATTTTTGGGGGGGGGACTTATTTTGAGATTTTGGGGGGGGATATTTTTTTGCTAGCTGTCATAATGAATGTATAACAACATTTTGCCGTTCGTAATTAAGATAGCTTCTAAGAATGGTAGAAACGGACCTTGCCAGGCAATCCTTAATATACCAGTGTCGAATTTTACTTGCTACAAATGTTTTGGTGGTTCTTTAACTCCACCATCGTCAGGATTAAAAAAACATCCACTTCTGGAGGTGTCGTCAGAATACGACAAACATTTAATACAAAACACGAAACGATTACAGATATGCCTGTCAATTCGTACATTTCCGTCGGCAGGACTGGAAGTAGAAGAAGTAAGTAAACTGAATCTGGTCCAGGTTATGACGGACCGACGTGGTCTCTGGATTGTCGTCTGCGTTTTCAACAGCTGATATTGGACTATTGTAGTGACTGAGAAGAGTATTGAAAATATAATGGGGTTCACAATTAATTGAGTGTTTTCACTAAACAATTTTGTGCTGTCAATAGTTTTATATATATTTCAAACTCCTCAAAGTATTTAATAAATTTCCTTTTCTGCAGTAATGTAGAATGTCGAGACCATCCAGCATATAAATTGGTTATTATTGTCAATAATTTTGAATGGAAAAATCAATTATGAATCCCATTATATTTTCAACACTCTCCTCCGTCACTAGAGTTAGTCCAATTTC